ACGTGGCGGCGCCCGGGCGGGAGGAGCAGACGGAGGACCTATACACATTGCGGGCACTGGCTGGTGAGGAATGGGATGAGGTGGAGGAGCCCGAAGAGCCACGGTTTGCGCGGGTGGCGCTTGTGGGCGCGCCCAATGCTGGCAAGTCGACCCTGGCCAACGCCCTGGTTGGCACCAAGGTCTCCATCGTCTCGCCCAAGATGCAGACGACCCGCGAGCGGGTGCTGGGCGTCGCCACCCGTGGCGCGGTCCAGGCTGAGTATTTGGACACGCCGGGACTCCTCGCGCCATCAGCACGGTACGCCGGAAAGAAGGTCATGCGATCGCTGTTGCTCGAGGCCGCCGACGCCCTGGCTGAGGCCGATGCCGTCATCTGCGTTCTCGACGCTGTCAAGCGCTGGGGCTCCAACGAGCACTCGGCGCTCGCGGCAGCGCTCCGCTCGGGCCGCCCGGCGCTGGCAGTCATCAACAAGATTGACTACTTGCAGCCGCCGGTCGCGCGGGAGGAGCTTGCCAAAGACGCCGACGAGTGGCGAGCAAGGGTGCTTGAGGTGGCGGCACTGCCAGCGCCGGCCTCGCCGCCCGCCCTTGATCTGACCTTTACCTCGGCAGTTGCCGGCGAGGGTGTGAACGATGTTCATACATGGGTCGCCTCGCATGCCCCGCTCGCCAACTGGAAGTACCCGTCGTGGTGGAAATCGGACGCGTCGCCGGTGGCCCACGTCGAAGAGCTCGTCCGCGAGCAAATTTACCGCAGGCTCAACCAGGAGATGCCGTACGTGGTCGAGCCGCGGGTCTTTGGCTGGACGCCGCTTCCCTCGGGCCAGCTCCGGATCGACGTCGAGCTCGCTGTCCGGACCAAGGTCCAGGCTCGCACCCTCATCGGCTCGCGCGGCGCCGTCATCTCGGGCATTCGCGACCGCGCACTGGCCGAGATCGAGGACGCGCTCGGCGCCGACGCGCTGTTGTACTTGCGTGTGGTGCGGAAGCGATAAAGAGCAATGCTGTCCTGGTAGGTTGTACAGAGTTTAGAGCAGAGGCGCGGCAGCGCTCTTGTCGATCGACGTCGGCTTGGTCTCGGGCTCGGCCGGGCTGACGGCCGGCGACGGGCTCGACGCCTCGGCCGGCATGACCGGGACAATGACCGGCGGCGGTGCGACGCCAAAGTCGATGGGTGCGGCGTGGGCCGGGACCGGGACAACGGCAACCGGCTCGTCGGCAGAAATGGCGGCCGGCGCAGGAGCCGGCGAAGCGGCAGCCGGCGCGGTGATGGGGGCCGGCGGGGTGTAGCCGGCGTGCTCGCTGTTGGTGACTGCAGCCGGCGAGTTGTGCAGGAGTCCGCGCTGGTGAACAGCGGTCTTGGGGCGAACGGTGTACGAGCCTGGCGGGAGCGAAGGCCCGCCCGGTCCGTGGGCAAACGACGGAAACATGACCTCACCGCGCCACACCACCTTGTTGGCGATCGGCCCGATGCGTAGCATCTCGAGGACCAGCAGCACAATGGGAAGCCATGAGAGAGCAATGACGTTGACAATGGCGTAGAAGCCCGGACCGTACGATGAGTTGGACGGCGCCCCGCCGAGGACGCCGGCGTAGAGAATGAGAGCAAAGAGAGCGAGGCCCCAGGCGACGGCCGCTACGGCTGCTGCGAGCTTGGTGGCCAGCTGATGGCGGTTTGCATCAAAGGCAGAAGCCGCAGCAGCGCCGATGGCAACCACCGCGACAAGCAGAGCGAGGAAGAGGAAGGTAAAGGCAGATGCGCCAGCATTGAGTAGCTTACGGACCTGCTTGCCCGTATCGCCGTCCTTGAACTGGTTCTTGGCCGCCGTCAGGTTGATGCACTCAGATGCACCTCTCACGCAGATCTTCACCAGTCCTGCATTCTCAAACGTGTTGCCGTCCTTGTACGAGACCCATGACTTGGATGCAAGGGCTGAGCGAAGAGCCAGCGAGCCAGCGCGCGCGCACGTGGGAGGGGGGGGGAGGGGGGGCGGGGGCCCAAGAGGGTGGCCAGGCAGCAGGGACACGGGTCACACAGCGAGACGGGCAAGACGGGCGAGACGGGGTCATTCACATTCACACCCACACTTGACACCCTCTGTCCCTCGTCTATATCTCTGGCCAGAGCCACAGCAATGACGTCGCACTACTTTGACGTGACAACCATGTGTGGGCAGGCATGGGTCAAGGTCTCTACGTACACCACGCAGCTGGAGGTGTACAACAAGCACTGCATGCTGTTCACCGCGCCCGGTGATGACGGCGGGCCGTGGCGTGTCCTCGATGCCTTTCCGCTCGACACCTTTGTGGCTACAGAAGTGACCCTCGATCCGCATCTGCTTGTCCTCCACGTCGGCCTTCCGCTTGATCTCGTCTCACAGTTCACGCCGCCAGCGTCGGTGGCCGACGGTCTCGCCGGCGATCTCATCGGCCCGCTGGAGACCGGCGACACGGGCGTTCTTGTCGGACGCGTTGCCGCCATCTCGGACTATCTGGCGTACGTCTCGTGCGAGGCTGATCCGGTTTCTGGCCGTCCGGAAGGCCTCGGCATCGTCGTCGATGTCGGTCGCGCTGTCTTTACGCTGCAGGGCCTCGACGATGAGCAGACCCACGCGTGGGCAACCCAGATCAAGTACCACATCGCGTCGGGCTTCACCCGCCCGCTCCATGCTGCTGATACTGCCGGCCTCGCCGCGTCGGCTGGCCTCGTTCCGGCCACCGCCGTCGTCTGCACATCGGCCGGCGGCGCGTCGTTTGCCGAGAACATGTCGCTCTTCCGCAAGGCCTTTGCCTCGGCCCGCCTCGTCCATGCTCCACTTCTCCGCGCCGGCATTGTGCTCCCCGGTGAGCCGTGCTTCCTCGGCTCGGACGTCGCCCGCTGGATCGCCGCCACCTTTGCTACAGCCACCGTCGACCAGATCGCCGTCATCGGCCAGTCTATGATCCTCGAGGGCGTCATCGAGCCAGTCGCCGACTCGGGCTCGCGCACCTTTAAGGCCGCCTTTGTCGTCTACCGCCTCGTCGCGCCTCAGAGCCATCACGCTCACAGCTGACCCCCCCCACTCCCCCCCCCCCCCCCGACCATTGATTAACGACAAGGGGGGTTGGGTTGAAAAAAGGCACGGCTTGCCGGTTAATCCAGAGCTATCGGGCATAGATAAAACGAAGGAACGCGTGGATCATTTACCGTGAGCGAGTGTAGCCGGCGCAATAGCAGAGGCAGAGGCGGCGGCGGAGCAAGTGGGCGAAATCGACGCGCGAGTGGGTGACTGGGGCGACTTGGCGGGCGAGGGGCGGCGGCAGGGCGAGGCGAGGGGAGGGTCCGGCGGACAGGCCAAAGGCACCCACATCTCTCACACACACATCAACAAGTACGTGAACAGGGGCAGAGGAGTAAATGTAGTCTGCGGGTGGGAGGTGGGGGGGTGCGGAGGGGTGGGGGGGTGCAGGGGGGACAGGCAGGGCAAGGGGGGAGGGGGCCAACTTACGACCTTCTTCGGGCGCGACCGATCGTGCCATCCGACGACACGGCGCGGGTTGGGCGAACTGGTGGATGGTGACGGGGATGCCGGGCGGATAGTGAGCTCTGGTGACGACAAGACGACGGCTGCGCCGCCTGCGTCCGAGGCTGCGGCGGGCGAGAAGCCCGTGTTCAAGTTTGGCGGTGGGGCGGCCGGCAGCGAGAAGGGCGGCGCCTTCAAGTTCTCCTTTGGCAAGCCCGCGGCGGCGGCGGGCGAGGGCGAGGCTCAGGAGGACAAGCCCAAGTTCAAGTTTGGTGGCGGCAGCAGCTCGTTCAAGTTTGGCGGCTTCTCGCCGGCAGGTGCGGCCGATGCTGCGGCCGAGGGCGAGCAGGACGAGGCCAAGACGAACCCCAAGGCCAAGGCCAAGGTGACGCTCGAGGAGGTCGAGGTCAAGACCCACGAGGAGGACGAGGACATTGCGCTCGAGCTCCGCGCGCGGCTCTACCGCATGGATGACGAGGCCGAGGAGTGGAAGGAGCGCGGTACCGGCACCGTCAAGCTGCTCAAGCACAAGGAGACGGGCAAGGTCCGCATCCTCATGCGCCGCGACAAGACGCTCAAGATTTGCGCCAACCACTTTATCACCGCCGACATGAAGCTTGTGTCGAACCCGTCGTCCGACAAGGTGTGGATGTGGAAGACGCTCGCCGACCGCTCCGACTCCAAGGAGGGCATCATCGACGACGCCACTGAGGAGAGCCTCCTCATCCGCTTTGGCTCGGTCGAGAACGCGCAGAAGTTCAAGGCTGCGTTCGAGGCTGCTGCCAATGGTGAGGACCCCGCGGCGGCGGCGGCAGCGGTTGCTGGCGCGGCGTCGACCACCACTACCACCACCGAGGCGGCGGCTGCTGCTCCGGCTGCCGAGGCTCCGGCTGCCGAGTAATCGCGTCGTAAACTGTGCCACATTGTGACGGAGAGCTGTCAGTTGTCGAGGAGGGGGGGAAGGGAGGAGGAGAGGGCGGTGGATGAATGGGTAGGTGGGTGGATGGGTGGATGGGTGGATGGGTAGGCGGCTGGCTGGCTGGCTGGCTGGGTTGATGGCTGGGTCGGCCGGTCGAAGTCCGCGTCGAAGAGAGGCAGAGGCAGACACCCGACTCGACGCGGCACGAGGGCGGGCAAGGCGGAGCAGGAGAGACAGCAGCAGGAGGAGGGAGCACGGGATAGGACACAGATGTTCCTGCTCCATGAGCTGGATGCGCAGGTCAAGGTCCAGGCGCACCTGCTCAAGCGCAATACAGAGGAGGCCATTGTGCGCCAGCTGGGCAAGATGTACTGCGACACGGTGGTGGGCGGCGTCGGGCTGGTCGTCTCCATCCACGACCTCGTCACCGTGGCCGAGGGCATGATCCACCCGGGTGGCGGCGAGGTCTACTTTAACGTCGTCTTTCGGGCCCATGTCTTCCGTGGTGTCCTCGGCGAGATCATGTACGGCGAGGTCAAGGCTGCTTCGCCGGCCGGCCTCCAGATCGACCTCACCTTCTTCGACGCCGTCTTTGTCACGCCGGACCTGCTGCCGCAGCCGGCTGTGTGGAACGAGGAGTCCGAGACCTGGGCCTGGCACTACGCCGTGCCTGGCGCCGATGAGCCGCAGGTCCTCGACATCGCCGTCGGCGAGACGGTGACCTTTAAGATCATCGACGAGGCCTTCTTTGACATCCACCGCGCCGATGTCTCGGATGACGCCCGCCCGCCGCATGTCGACGAGCACGGCAAGGACGTGTCGGCAGCGACTGCCCACAAGCGTCCGTACTGCCTCCTTGTCTCACTCAACGGCAACGGGCTTGGGCTTGGCGAGTGGTGGTCGTGATCGTTGCGATGGATGCTGGGACTGTCTGTATGCCGCCAGGGGAGGCACTGCTGGAGCGTGAAAGTACATGATGTGGGTATTGGCTGAGAGAGGGAGGTGAGTCTGCGGGTGGCAGTGAGATCGAGCAGCGGGCGGGCGCGGGACCGCATCACCTGCCACTGGCACCGACACGAGAGCATGAGCACGGGCACGGGCACGGGCACGGGCTCAGGCAGCACTGCACTCGCCACTAGTAGGCGGATAGGGTGCAGCAGCAGGAGCATGCCGTACCGCAGGGTGGACCTGGAGACCAGCCAGTTTGGTGTCCTGCACTCGGCCTCGTCGGCTTCGCTGCCTGTGGCCCGTCGCTCGAGGCGAAGGCGCGCCAACCGTGGGCGAGTCGCACCGGCGGGCGATGGCGGCGCCAGCGGCGATGCCAACGGCGACAGGGGCCACAAAGGCTTACAAGCCGGGAAGATGCGGGTAGCAGCGCGTCATGCTGACCATGTCGGCGCAATTCCGTTCGACGTCCGTCCGCGGCTCGTCATGTATCCCGACCTAGTGGCTTGGTCCGACGCCTCGGATCGCTGGGAGTCGACCGACGGCGGCAGCGCCTTGGCCGCGTACATTGCAGGCAGTGGCCGCCAAGCTGGTCGCGAATTGTCGGCTTCAAGCTCAGCAGTTGGTCGAGCTGCTGGGCGGAGCCAGCGTGGATCGTCGTTTGCGTCGTCCGAGACAAGACAAGCGATGGGCGCGTTTGCCAGCGATGCCGCCGCCCCACGCCGCCATCCCACCCCCCCAACCGGAGGGACAAGGTACAGAGTGGCCAGGCCGAAGACGAGCCGAGCCATGGACGCGTTTGTCGGTGATGCTGCTGTGATCTCTGCGCCGAGCGAGAGTACGACCACGTCCACAGACTATACATCGTGTGCGTCGTATGCGTCGTCATCGGTCGTTGCTACACGCCGCTCTCGCCGCAGCAAGCGCACCACCCCAGCCGGCGAGACAAGGTACAGAGTGGCCAGGCCGAAGACGAGCCGAGCCATGGACGCGTTTGTCGGTGATGCTGCTGCGATCTCTGCGCCAAGCGAGAGCTCGAGCGCGCCGTCGTGCGCATCGTCATCGACCGCTGCTCCCCGTCCCACCCGCCGCCGCCGCTCACGTCATTCCACCACCCCAGCCGGCGAGACAAGGTACAGAGTGGCCAGACCGAAGACGAGCCGAGCCATGGACGCGTTTGTCGGTGATGCTGCTGTGATCTCTGCGCCAAGCGAGAGCACGACCACGTCCACAGACCATACATCGTGTGCGTCGTATGCGTCGTCATCGGTCGTTGCTACACGCCGCTCTCGCCGCAGCAAGCGCACCACCCCAGCCGGCGAGACAAGGTACAGAGTGGCCAGACCGAAGACGAGCCGAGCCATGGACGCGTTTGTCGGTGATGCTGCTGTGATCTCTGCGCCAAGCGAGAGCTCGAGCGCGCCGTCGTGCGCATCGTCATCGACCGCTGCTCCCCGTCCCACCCGCCGCCGCCGCTCACGTCATTCCACCACCCCAGCCGGCGAGACAAGGTACAGAGTGGCCAGACCGAAGACGAGCCGAGCCATGGACGCGTTTGTCGGTGATGCTGCTGCGATCTCTGCGCCGAGCGAGAGCTCGAGCGCGCCGTCGTGCGCATCGTCATCGCCCGCTGCTCCCCGCCCCAGCCACCACCGCAAGCGCGCCGTCCCAGTCGGCGAGACCGCATTCCGTGTGACCTGCCCCGAGCCCCCCGCCGCGCTGACCGCGTTCATCGGCGCGTGAGCCCCGCCAGACGAGCCGGCGCCGAGCCCGGCAGCGGGCACTTGACGCAGGCGGGAGCGACAGCAGCAAGAGGCAGGCAATGAACGCAGCACGGGCAGCAGTGCGGGTGGCGGCGGCGGCAGGCACAGCAGCCGTGGTGGCGGCCGCTGGTGGGTGCGGCGAGGCCCACGCGGCGGCGCCCGACTTTAGCAGCAGCGACCCGTACCGAGTCCTCGGCCTCTCGCCACAGGCCTCGCCCGACGAGGTACGCACAGCCTACCGCCGGCTGGCCATGCGGCTCCATCCGGACCGCAATTCCGACGATCCGGCCGCCGCCGACAAATTTGCTAAGATCCAGGCTGCCTACGATGCGCTGGCCCATCCGGAGAAGGCCGCCCGCCGCGCCGCGCCCGGGCCCGACCGCCGCGCCTCACCGCATCATCCGCCGCCGCCGGGCGACGATCCCTTTGCCGACTTTGTCAATGCCATGTTTGGTGGTGGACCTGCCGGCGGCCGCGATGGTGGCGACATCGCCGCCCCGCTCCGCATTGCCATGGACATGGCCTTCCGTGGCGGCCGCGCCTCGGTCGCCGTCGATCGCGTCGCCGTCTGCTCCGTCTGCTCCGGCACAGGCGCAGCCTCGGGCAACTCGTATCGCTGTACCGCCTGCTCCGGCACAGGCCGTGCTACCACTCGCCGGACCATGGGATCGGCCGTCTTTACCTCGGTCGGCCCATGCTCGGCCTGCCGCACCGCGCCTGGCCGCCCCGGCGTCGCCATCCCACCCGCCGACGTCTGCAAGAGTTGCCGCGGCATAGGCCGCGTCCGCGAGCAGGCCTCGGTTCCAGTCGACCTTCCGCCGGGCGTCTTCTCAGGCCTCACCCTCCGCGTTCCCGGCCAGGGCTCTGGCCCGACCGGTGATCTGTACGTCACTGTCGACGTCGAGACACCGACGGGCTGGGAGATCCGCGGAGCAGACGTCGTCGTTCACCAACGCATCGCCCTGGTCGACGCCCTCACCGGCAACTTTCACATCACCATCCACCACCCGGCCGGCCACAACTTGCGCGTCTCGGCCGCTGATGTCCGCGCTGCCGGCGTCCTCGCCCCGGGTGCCGTCCTCCGCGTCCCGGGCGAGGGCATGCCACACCTCGGCACGCCCGCACGTCGCGGCAACCTCTACATCGCCTTTGACATCGCCTTTCCGCCCCACCTCGATCCACAAGCCGCCGCCGCGTTGCGCGACCTCCTCGCCGCCCCAGGCCCTTCCACCTACGAGACCGGCCCCCACGTTCACCACCATCCGTCCGCCGCCGACAAGACCATCGTCCTCGACAAGGCTAACGTGCTCTCCAACGACGCTGCTGCCGCCGAAGTCGGCCGATCCGCCGCTGGCCAACGCTCCTCCCGGCCGCCGCCGACCGATGACGGAGCCCCAGGCCCGGGCTCGTGCTCTGTCTCGTAAACCTCTTCTCATCTCCAGCCACACAACCCATCGCCTCCCGCGAGTGTCTTCATTGCCCGCGGCTACACGTGTCCTCCCTCCGCAGTCGCCCGGAAGCCTCCCATCGTCGACCATCGCCGCCGCATCACCGTCCCCGCACCGCCACGGCGCTCAGTCGCTCGGCTTCCACGCCAGGCCGCGGTGCTTGGCCACAATGTAAGCCAGCGGAAGGATGACGCCGACAACCATGACCACCGCACCGGCAAGGTACGACCCAACCGTAGGTGTCTCGAGCATGGTCTGTGAGTGCGGTGACAGAGCTCGGCCTCGTAGTCACGCTCCACTGCAGTGCAAGCGCGAGCGACGGCGGCGGCGGGGCGATTGGCAAAAAACGGCACTCAACACACCAGATTGAACATCCCATGCCAGCGCGTGCGCCTACTTCCTGTCTTACCGCCGCATCATGGGCGCATAGGCAGTGCGCAGCACTCTGGATGGCCAATGCCATTGCGCACGGGAGAGAGCAAGGCATGATAGGGAAGATGGAAAGGAGGGTCGGGAAAGGTGCAAAAAATAATATACTCCAGCGCCGGGAATCGAACCCGGATCCTTAGCGTGCTTATCATAAATTGAAAAGCTAATATCCTAGCCGTTGGACTACGCCGGACAACTCGTTTGGACTAGTGATTTTTTGGTAATTAAAGCTGTCATTGCTTTGTACTTTGCTTCGGGCCAGCAGCTGTCGTGCATGTAGCGCTCAAGACCAAGGCCACAGGTGTTTATGCAACCGCGCCCGGTATGACAACCGGCGGCGGCTTAGTCATAGCCGCTTCGGCGGCCCGGTCGGCGCCCTTGCGCAGCCGTGACTCGTTCAGCGACGGTCCCGCGGCGTCTTGCTCGCAGTCAAAGTCCAGAGCCGCACGCATGGCGGAGAGGTCGAGCGAGGCGTCATACGAGCGATAGCCGAGATGCTCGGCCATGGGCCCAAGCTGCATGGTCTTGAGCGAGGTGATCCGCTGCGCCAAGTGCACGTACTCGGCGAGCCGCGACGGCGGGCCGACCGCGCGCAGCTGGTCGAGCGCGGCTTGGGCCTCGCCGCCGGCAAGCTCTGACTCGGTGCTGCTGTGCGACCACTTGTTGAGCGCGTCGAGGTAGAGCGAGGTGCGAGTGACCGGCCGCGAGAAGAGCGTTGGGTGGGCTGGAATGAGCGGTGAAGGCGACGGCTCCGGTGACGCATGCCGCGACGCCGCCCGCTTGCGCTTGGTGCCGAGCGGGGACGACGGCCAGCCGACAAACTCGCTCACGCTGTCCGGCTCGCCGTCCGAGTCCGAGTCCGAGTCCGAGAGCGACGGCAGGACCCGGTCGTAGAGGATGCGGCCGCCACGACCAATGCGCCGGACAGCCCGGAACTTGCGCGGGCGCGAGCCCTCAGGCGCGACGCCGCGGATGACTCGGGTCGGGTAGCCGCCGGCGCCGATCGCGGGCGGCCCGGGCGCCGACGACGCGGGCACGCTCTCGGCAAGGAACGAGGTCGGAGGCGCAGCTTCAAAGGCATGTGCGTTGGGCATCCGCACATGCGACGCAGGGTCCATGTACAAGCAGCGGATGCCGATGCGGTTGATGATTGGGAGCGGGACAGACTCGAGGTGCGAGGCCAGAGTCTCGATCTCGGTGTCGTCGTCCGACTCGGCAAGCACGTCGTCGAGCTTGGCGCGCTGTAGCAGCGTCGTGTATGCCTTGTTGGCCGTCGACTGCGAGCGCGCGGGGCGGGTCGGGTCCAGCACCGCCGGCGTAGTGGCTTCGGCGGCAGCTGACGTTGGCGCCGACGCCGACGCGGCCGGGTCGGCGGCAGCCTTGGGCGCCGGGCGCGGGCGCGGCGGCGGCGGGAGGTCCAGCTGCAGCTTGAACTTGTTTCCGCTCTTGTCTTCCTTCCGCAGCTGCTCAAAGATCTCGATGCGGAGGGCGGCCAGGTCGCGTTTCGTCTCCTCGCGGGTAAAGACCTCCTGGAGCAGCTCCATGACGGTCTCAAACTCCTTCTTCAGCTGGCAGAGCTTCTTGTACGATGTCATGTCGTTGGGCTTCTTTCGGCGCGAGTAGGTGCGCGAGAGCGGGCGGAAGGCAAGATGCGGATCCGAGTTGTCGTGGTCGGGCGGCGGCCAAAACGGCCGCAGCAGCGGTTTGTCCAGCCGCACCCGCTTGGCCATCCAGTACTCGCGGATGATCGATCCGGTCTTTTCCGAGACCGTCGGCGGCAGAGTGATGGCTGAGAGCTCGACAGGCACCACGTTAAAGTTAGTGGCCTTCTCCAGCCGGTCAATGAGCGCCTCAAAGTCGTCTTCGGAGATGCGACGGTTCTTGGCGTTGTGGGCGTTGAGCCACTCGAGGTCGTCGGCGTCCATGTCGTACAGCACACCGCAGTCGGGATCGTTCCACGCCGGCACCGTCAGCCGCAGGTATGTGTCCGGCAGCTCAAATGGTGGGCCTGCGAGCCGCTCGGGCGGGACCTCCCGGATCTGCGGGATGGGGATGGCCACCGTCGACGCTGCGCCAGCCGCCTGCTGCTCGATGGCCTTCTTGATGTGGACCTCGCGCTCTTCTAGACTCTCCATTCCTGTCTTCAGCTGCGGCCGTGCCCGCTTGAACGCGCTCTTGCCGTCGTCCTTGTCCTCCTCGCGCCGGATCTTCATCTTGACGTCGAGGTCGACCCGTCGCGAGCGGAGTGACTTTTCCGGCGCCATGGCCGCCGCCAGCCGCGCGTCGGACATGGCCGAGGGCGGGCAGAGGACGGGGCGGGGGGGCGGGCAGAGGTCTCCAGGGGAGTGGGTACTGGCAGGGGCAGACGCGTGAGGGGGGTGGGCCGGTTCGAAGGGGGGCGCGTGGCCTGTACAGCGTCGGGTGGCCTCGCCCCTACGGCGCTGGCGGGTGCCGGCACAATGCGACTCGCCGGTCGCCCGACGTGATCAATGGCTGAACGCGGGAGTGGGTGGGGGGGGGGGGGGGCGATTCGGGCCGATCGCAACTGGGGAAGAGGGATCGGTGCGAGGTGGTGGAGAGGGTGGCAGATGGTTGAGGGTAAGGAGCACGTGGTGTGGAAGAGGGCACCCTTGCTTGGTAGGACGAGGGTGATGTGGATGAGGGGGGGGTGACGTTGGCGGATTTTTGCGGGCGGTAGCAGTGATGGTCGGAGATGTGATGGGGATGCTAGAGAGTGGAAGGGAGTGAATGGAGGTGAGGAGAGTGTAGGGGGGTAGGGGAGGGGTGGAAGGGTGGTGTGAGGGGGCGAGATGGGGCGATGGAGGCTGGAGGGACGGAGATTTAAAGGCGAGCCCCGAGAGGGCAGGGATGATCAGAGAAAAAGAGATCAGATGGTGGTGCCATAGTAAGCATCACCCGACATGCTGGTGGAGGGAATGGCATAGATGGTGCACTGGTCTGGATGTCGTTGTTATTGCTATGTTTGGCAATGGGAAGAGAAGGAGGAGAAGAGAAGGAGGAGAGGAGAAGAGAGGAAGACGGCGATGTGTATTGATGTGTATTTAGTGCATCGGAGGGCGGATATCGGCTACGGAGGAAATACAAGATAAGCAGAAGGAAGGATAGTGTATGTGTGTGGGGGGGGATTTGTCATCAGACAAGGGAGGAGTTGCAGAGTTGCAGATGGAGGACACGGTGTTGATGGGCAGAGCAGATCCAGGCGACAGGCTGCGAGACCGACGCTGACGACGATGACGGCGGCGATAATGGACAAGATGAGGGTTGAGATTAGGGAGGATGGAGGAGGGATTGGGAGGATGGGGATGGGGACAGCAAGGGGATTAATTAGGTAGAGAAAGATAGAAGGAAGGAAATGTTGCCCCGCGTTAGTCCTCCTGAGCCCATTGAGGGAGCAAGGAGGGTGGAGAAGGGCCGGTCTGCTAAACCGTGGACACTAAAGTCCTGTTCCACGACGTGGAAGTAGATAGACAGCCACTTAAGTGCTGTCCCAAGCTATTCGGATGAATTACGTCGATGTGTTGTTGCTTTCTCATGACGGACTCTATCCCGCTCAAAGGGAGCTCGGCTTTTCCCTCTTGCTACGCCGGTCTCTAAATGGGTTTACTCACTCGCACTGAAAACAGCTCCGGTGAGATGACACACACACATTCGCTGCCTCAGTTCTGCTCGTAGGCTGCAACCACCAGTTCCACAACCTCGGGCGTCACGTCGTCCACCGACTTGAGGCCTATCTTGTGAGTCGTCTGCCCGATTGGCGTGGCCGTGGAGAGCAATTCGCTCTCGGGCGGATCAGTGAAGCGGAGGCCGAGATCGACCCTGCTCCGGCTTGCAGCCTTCACCGCCGCAAACTGGCGGTTGTGGGTGAACGGGATGTACGTCGACCGGCCGGCAGCGGTCACGGCCTTGCCCGCGCTGAGTACCACATCGCGGACGCGGTCGTAGATCGGGCGCAGGGTGCTCTTGGCGCCCGAGTACTGCTTGGCAGCATAGCCCTCGACATCGGGCTCGATCCAGCCGGCCTGCTTGGCCGCAGCGCGGGCAATGGCCCACTGGCTGTTGAGCGGCACGTCATGGACCTCCCTCAGCCACTTGCGGACGGCCTTCTGGTCCAGCTCATCCACCCCAGAGCCCACCACCGTCGCCACCCACTCGTCCAGCGTCCGCCCCGTCCGTGCCTCCATGCTCGCCTCCATGGCGCTGCCCATACTCTCAGGCGACGCCATGCCCTCGCTTCCTTGTCACCTGTAACGCGAGAAGTGGTGCTGTCACCAACTCGACAGCACACACTGCACACATCGCACACACTTCGGCAGCCATTGCCACCCGGCCTGGCCCGCTGCCATCTCCATCGAAGACGGCAACGTGCTGTGCGGTGTACTACCACCACATCAGCATCGCTGACTCGTATCGCACCCTGCTGTCGTGTCCGAGTCACGATCTCGGTGGTCCGACAGCTGCCTGCCCCCCCCCCCCCCCTCTTCGTCTCTCTACCCACAGCTATTCGCCCCTGCCATGTGGTGATTCCCTACCCATGCCCATGGCATCACATCCCGGATTCGTAGCCTGCAGTCAGGGGGGCTCCCGCCGGCGAGCGCGCGCTAGCTGACACCACCTCGCTTTGCCAGCAGCAGCCGCCGCGGCATGTACCACCCGCCCCGGTCCCGGAGCTCGTCACCGGTTGCGACCATGGCAGCTGCAGCCGAGTCACTTACACTGGCTCGGCAGGCCTCGGCAGCCTCCCGTGCCAACCTCTTTGCTCGTCGCCCCGTCCTGGGCCATGGCCGCTGGCAGCCTGCTGCTGCTGCGCCGGCGCACGTTGTTGGCGCCGACCCGGCCCGGGCCACCCGTCCGCCAAGCCCGCCTCGCTTGGGCGCCTCACCACTGCCGCACCCACTCCGTCCGCCTCCGCAGCATGCGCCCGTCTATGCCTCCGGCCCTTCTTCCCGCCACATGCCCGACCCACTTCTCCGTCTCCGCTCCTCTCCGCCACCCCGCCCACGCTCGCTGCCGTTGGAGCCCGACCAGCAGCGCTCGTCGCTGCGATTGTCGCCGGACCATCGCGGCTCCCCGCCGTATCCCCGCTCGTCGCCGCGGGTCCACTCGCTGCGCCGTGCGCGGGTCTCTTTTGCAGAGCATGATTCACCCCTGCTCTCGCCGTCGCGGCCGCTGGCCTCGCCGCCCCTGGCTCCTCCACCGCGCGCTGCGGTTGCGTTGGCGCTCTCGGATCTTGATGTCCCGGCACCGGCACTTGCCCGTACTGGTGCGCCCTCCTCGATCTTCCCGCCGCGCCACCGTCTGATGACCGACGACGCCCGCGCTAGCTCTGTACCGCTTATGGACTGGAACGGCGACGCCCCGCCGACACTGGCTGGTGACGGCGGCTTGCGCGAGTTGACTTCGTACGAGCGTGAGGTTCGCGCATCAACGGTTTCGCCCCCGCAAGTTGACGTTGCTCCACTGCAGATGGAGCTCTCGGGCCTTGGCGTCGGCCATGCGCCCACGCTCTCGACATGGGCGTCTCCCGTCTCTTCTGCAGCTCCGGCAGAGGCGACGCCGGAGCCGCTGGGCTTGGCAGACTACAGCCCTCCGGCGCGTATTGAGCTTGCGCCTGTCCGCGGCTCAGCGTCGCCGTCGACCCACTCGAAAGCATCTACTTTTGCGCTCTCACCGGCTCGGGTTGCCGAGGTCGCTGCCTCGCCGCTGCCGTCACTGTCGGCGCTTGCGATGGCGACTTCACTCGACGAATGGTCGAGTCTCGAGCCTGAGCTTGAGCCAACGTCTGAGGAGCGTGAAATCGCCGCTGCAAGCGAGGCCGAGACTTTGTTTGTCGATGCTGTGGCCGAGCCCGAGCCCGCCCCTTTGCCCGCGGCCGAGCCCGAGCCATTTGCTCCCAACACCCGCGCACTCTTTGACTTTGCCGATCTCAACCCGATGCACCTTGACTTTGTCGAAGGCGAGCCGCTGCATGTACTCGATGACAGTGGTAAGTGGTGGATTGCCCGCAACACCCACGGATCCGAGGGTCTAGTCCCGTCCAACTACGTATGTGCACTCTCTGCCCCTCTCTCCGCACAGCCTGCTGCTGTGACCCAGGCCGTGGCTGCAGTCTCGCCGACTTCTGCTGCCAACAGCGCCGATGTCGAGAGCAGCGCCGTCGATGCTGCTGATGCTAGCGTTGACGCCCTGGCAGAGACCGGAGCCTCTGGCGACGATGCGACCGAGCTGGAGGATGAGTTCTACATCGAATCCGAGGTCGAGGCTGCTGCACCTGCTGCGGTAGCGACCGCAGCAGATGCCACCGGGGCTGAGGCTGAGGCTGCGGCTGAAGTCGAGGCTGATATTCACACACGGTCGCGGGCGGCCAGCGAGACGGCACCTACAGCGCCCAAGGTGCCCAAGCGGACATCACGGTACACCAAGGACGACGCCATTATGCTTGTGCAGGCGCTGTGCGGATACGCCGACCCGTCTGTTCATCGACTCGACTTTGAGGCCGGCGAGGTGCTGTACGTGCTGGAGCAGTCGTCGAACTGGTGGCACGCCATGAACGAAGACGGCGCCGAGGGCCTTATCCCGTCGAACTTTGTGCTCGAGTGCCCGGCGCCGCCGGTGGTGACTGACCCGCCTGGACCGACAACTCCAAACAGCCCGGACACTGTTCAAGAGGCTGCCGAGCTCCTCGAGGCTGCGCCTGCCCCTCCAGTGTTTTCGCTGTCAGACGCGGACGACATTCACGTCCTTGACATCGACGCCTTTGATCTATCCAACTTTCAAGCTCCGCCGCCTCCACAAGCCAGTTTGGAGCAGCTCGATGCGTCAGCACCCGAGCTGGCTGCGCACGCAAGTGGCGATGCACCGCCGCCACCGGATGTTGCTGTTGCGGAGATGAGAGTGCCCCACGAGACCGAGCCCGAGCTCAAGGCCGAAGCTGAGGCAAAGGTTGAGGCTGAGCCCGAGCCCAAGGCCGAAGCTGAGGCAAAGGTTGAGGCTGAGCCCGAGCCCAAGCCCAAACCCAAGGAGCCCCGATATGTGCAAGCGCTGCATCGGTTCGAGGATGACAACCCGCGGCGTCTGGACTTTGAGGCGGGCGAGATTCTGGAGGTGCTTCAGGCGCGCGGTAACTGGTGGGAGGCTCGGACAGTGCTCGGCGACATCGGCCTCCTGCCGTCCAACTTTGTGCAGATCATCGACGCTGCTGACGGCGCCAGGCTTTTCCACGCGCAAGTGCGCGGGTCGGAAAGCGACACCGAGTCTGCAGTTGTCGACGACGCAGTCGCCGACCTGCTGGAGAGCGGGGGAGAAGATGATGCGGCGCACTCGCTCAACGACTCGGGTGCGATGTTCCAAGAGATCGTGGCAGCACCCGATGAGGAGCTCGAGGCTCCTGCTGGAGTTGAATCTTCTGCGATGGTGTTCTCTGACGAAGACTCGGTGTCGACGGTTGCCGAAGACGAGGCTGACCCCGCTGTTGTCGAACCCGTCGCGGCGGACGCCGCTGTGCATGCAGCAACCGTCGAGCTTGCCACCTCCAGCGACGATGATTCAGCGTCAACAGTTGCGGAGGTTGTCGAGCCCGTCGTTGCGGACGCTGCTGTGCCAGTGGCCGTGGAGCCCCCTCCAGCGACGTTGAAGCCTCGGCGCCGGCAGTTGCGGAGGACGAGGCTGACCCCGCTGTTGTTGAACCCGTCGTAGTCGCATCTGCCAGCGATGATGACTCGGCATCGACAGTTGCGGAGGACGAGGCTGAATCCGCTGTCGTTGAACCCGTCGTGGCGGACGCCGCTGTTGACGACGATTCGGCGTCGACAGTTGCGGAAGATGAGGCTGACCCCGCTGTCGTTGAACCCGTCGTAGTCGCATCTGCCAGCGACGATGACTCGGCGACGACAGTTACGGAGGACGAGGCTGACCCCGCTGTCGTTGAATCCGTCGTAGTCGCATCTGCCAGCGACAATGTCTCGGCATCGACGGTTGCGGAGGACACGGCTGAATCCGCTGTCGTTGAACCCGTCGTGGCGGACGCCGCTGTTCATGCAGTAACCGCCGAGCTTGCCACCTCCAGCGACGATGATTCAGCGTCAACAGTTGCGGAAGATGAGGCCGATGTCGCGGTTGTCGAGCCCGTCGTGGCGGTCGCTGCTGTGCCAGTGGCCGTGGAGTCCGCCACCTCCAGCGACGATAACTCGGCATCGACAGTTGCGGAGGACGAGGATGACCCCGCTGTCGTTGAACCCGTCGTAGTCGCATCTGCCAGCGACGATGACTCGGCATCGACGGTTGCGGAGGACGAGGCTGAATCCGCTGTCGTTGAACCCGTCGTGGCGGACGCCGCTGTTCATGCAGTAACCGCCGAGCTTGCCACCTCCAGCGACGATGATTCAGCGTCAACAGTTGCGGAAGATGAGGCCGATGTCGCGGTTGTCGAGCCCGTCGTGGCGGTCGCTGCTGTGCCAGTGGCCGTGGAGCCCGCCACCTCCAGTGACGTTGAAGACTCGGCGCCGGCAGTTGCGGAGGACGAGGCTGACCCCGCTGTCGTTGAACCCGTCGTGGGGACGCCGCTGTGCATGCAGTAACCGCCGAGCTTGCCACCTCCAGCGACGATGACTCGGCGCCGGCAGTTGCGGAGAACGAGACAGCTATAGCCGTTGTAGTGCCTGCGGCAACCATCGAGCCCGCCACCTCCAGCGACAGCGATTCGGCGTCGACAGATTCCGAGGACGAGGCTGATCCCGCTGTCGTTGAGCCCGTCGTAGTCGCATCTACCAGCGACAACGATTCGGCGCCGGCAGTTGCTGAGAACGAGACAGCTGCAGCTGTTGTAGTGCCTACGGCCGCCGTCGAACCAGCCTCCTCGAGCGACGACGATTCGGTGTCAACAGATTCTGAGGACGAGGCGGCAGCAGCTGCCGAGCCGGCTGTGGTGCCCGTGGTCGCGACCGGATCCGCCACCTCCAGCGACGACGACTCGGCGTCGACGTTCGCGGTGGACACGGCTGATCCCGCTGTCGTCGAGCCCGTCGTCGCTGAGGCCGCCGTGGCGACTACCCAACCCGTCACCAACAGCGACAACAACGACTTGCCATCGTCGGCTGCAGAGGCCAGCGAAAACGGAACTGCCGTCGACGACGGTGTTGCCCACTCGCCAACGTACGCCAGCGCTTCTCACGACTTTTCTGATCCCAACCCTCGTCGTCTCGACTTTGCCAAAGGCACCATCTTTCGCATCCACGTCACAGAGGGCAACTGGTGGGACGCGAGCACGCCCAATGGCGCCCGCGGCCTTGTCCCGTCCAACTACCTCGAGGAGATTGACCAAGCTGACGGCGCCGCCGCCTTTGCCACCCCTCGCCCACTGTCCAACACCGACGAGCTCGCCGCCGACGCCATCGCCCTAGTTGCCGAGCTCGACAGCCTCTGGCCGTCCGACGACGACGAGGCCGAGGTCGCTGCCAAAGCTGCCACTCCTGCACACGAGACACAGGTGCCTCCCCACAAAGCCGCCGAGCTCATCCAGCTCGACTCGACGACCGAAGACCCGCCGTCGCCATCAGCCCTCAACCGCTCCATCTCGTTTGCCGACAACAACGAGTACTTTGAGTATCCGCGCCCGTTTTCCTACACCACCGAGTCGGACTCGAACTCGGGCTCGGGATTTTCCGACTCCTCATCCTCTTCGTCGTCGTCCCCGTCGTCCTCGTCCGAGCCCGAGGACTTTTCGCGCTTCAACCACATCTCTGACGCCGACCTCGACGCCTCAATTGCCACTCTCAAGGACGACATTGCCAAGGCCAAGGCTGCTGGCGCCGACCTCGACCTCGTCGACGATCTGTACGACGAGTACATGGCGCGTCGCCGCGCCCGCGCTGCTCGCTCCTGATCTCTGGCCAGTAAATTCATTATCCTACAGCTCTAGGCAGAGAGATAGCCAGGGAGCAGGCCGTCCTCCGCAGCAGGCTTGAACGCAGCCCGCTCGTCAGCGGCGCGCGCAGCAGTCCCGCCAGGCAGGTGCTCAAGCTGGGCCCGCAGCGCGGCGGCATGACGCTCGCCGATGACCATGACCATGACCATGGTAAAGCCGAGCTTGGAGAGAAACTCGGGGAATCGGACCGTCATGCTCACATACAGCGTCAGGACGGCAAGGCCGGCAATGGGCAGCAGGCCGCGCGGGTTGAACGCCGCCGCGTTGCCCGACGCCGCCCGCGCCAGCGAGTCCACCTGCAGCCGGAACCAAACAAGGTGGAAGCACACGTACATGGTCCACGCCCACATCGGATAGGTCGTCGACGGAATGAGTCCGTCCGCGAGCTTCATCACTATCACCACGCCAAGCATGCAGAGCCAGACCAACGGACGCAGCCCAATCCGGCTCGCCACCGCACTCAGCTTGGCCCGCAGCCGCAGCGGCGACGAGCCAGCAAACACCCGCGCGCCGTACTTGGCCACCGCATAGTCATAGCCAAACCACGGAATGAGGACGCCGGCGGCAAGCCGCAGCATGTTCTCCACCGGCGTGTTGTCGTCAAGCGTCTCCCGGAACGAAAGCCACACCCAGTGGATGTCCATGTACCAGTACGGGACCCAGTTCCACGGCTTGAACGGCTGCGCGATCGGATACGTCATGGAAAACGCCGGCACGGCCGCCGTCTTGAGCTCGGGGTACTTGGACGACCGGTACAGCTTGAAAGACATCTTCTCGTAAAAGTAGATGTGGTTCATGGTGTACACAATGTCCAGTCGCATCATGGGCACCTCGAACTTGCCCGACTCGGGCACAGCGTTGCGGTCAAAGAGCGGGGCGGCGATGAGCTCGGCAAAGTAGGAGACAAAAAAGCCCTGGTCGCCGCCATCATAGGAGAGCATACCCGAGCCAAGCGAAGCAATCATGTCGTCAAACACAGCCTTGTCCGGCTTGACCACAAGCATGCCCGTGTGGAAGTTGACCGGGTTCTGGAACGCGGCGCAAAAGTGACCGCACTGGAACAGCTCGTCCATGTTGCGCAGGCAGATCGAGTCCTCGTCCATGTAGATGACCCGCTCGTACTCGACCATGTTCCACAAGTGGAGCTTATTGAGCGAGTGCTCAAAGTGCGCCTTGTACGACGCAGCCTCGGCCGCAGGCACCGTCCCATCGCCCACCCCGGCGCCCTCGCCCTCGCCAGCGTTGGTGTGCTTGTACGGATTGGGGATGTTGGGCACAAACTTGAGCCGCGCACCCGTCGCCTCCAGCACCGCCACCGTCTCGGGTGTCACATTCTCAGACACCAGCACAACCACATCGGCCTCGGGCTTGGCCTCCAGCAGCGACGCGATCAGCACACGAGCCCCGAGCAGGTACTCGGCGTCGAGCTTGGTCCCCTCGTAGTGGATGAGCGCATATGCGTGCTTAAACTGCGCCTCCCGCGACGACGTTCCCACGCCTCCCGCCACCACGCTGCCATCTCCGTCCCCAGCCCCAGCCCCGGCCCCAGCGCCCGCGCCGGCCCCGCCATCCCCGCCCTCCACCGACGCTGCGCCCACCGTCCCTCCACACGCCGCCAGCACCGCCAGCACCACCGCCCAGCCCAACACCATGCACACAACTCTGCTCTGCATCTCGCCCTGCAGAGTGTTGCAGACAAGTAGCAACCCCTCCTTCTTTCCCGCCCTGTTGGTCGACTCGGTCGCTGGCCCGGCGACGCCACCCAGCCGCTCCAACCAACTGCAACGTGGCGTTTGCTCGCTCTGACCGCCCGAGTTCCACGGCTATCTCCACTCGTTCCTCCGCTCTTTCTTCTCGCCAGCATGTTACAGATAAATGGCACCTCCGTCATCGCGGTAGTCGTACGAGTCGGACGGGAACTCGTCGTTGCCGTACATCTCGTCCATTAGCGGATCAAAGCCTTCGCGGCCGTAGCCGTAGCCGTCGTCGTGGTTGTACTCGCGCCCGTACTCGCCGGCCTCGTCCATGAGGAGTGAAGACGAGTCGAGGAGCGCGCCCATCCGGCCGCGGTCGTCAGGCTCGTCGACGTAATGGGCAGTGGCAATACCGGCTCCGCTGCCGCCGGCCATGGCATCGAGCCACTCGGCGTTGTGGGCCTGGAACTTCATCCGCTGGATCTCTGCGGCGGAGCTCGGGTCGTGCTCGACGACAATGTCGAGAACGGCTGCCGCCAAGCGGCGGACCTGCACGTTGCGATCTTGAAGCAGGTCGATCATGTACGCTACCGAGTGGGCCTGGTCCATAAAGACCCGACGGGTCGCCTCGTTGAGGGCGAAAAAGTAAAAGGCGTACGTGATGTGGAGGACAAAGGCATCGTCCTCCTGCCGCGCCGACATGAGGTGCATGAGCTCGGGAATGATGCCGGTCGCTGCAATGGCGTCGGCGGTGTTTGGATCGACCGCCACGGTGCCGATAAAGACCACAGCTTGCAGTGCAATGTCGTCGTCGACCCGTGAGACGTCCAGCAGCGGCTCGGCAAACTCGAGCAGGCCATACTCCTCGAGAAGCCGCGCGTAGTTAAAGTTGGGAATGGCCAGCGCCCCGAGGAGTGCAAGCGCCTCGACTTGGAACTCGGGCGAGCCGCTCGAGTCCTTGGCCAGCTGCACAATCTCGTCGATGTAGTCAAGGAACATCATCTTAAAGTCGCCGTCATGCGTCGCCAGGTTGGCCACAAACTTCATCAGCACCGGGTCGCCCGTCGCCAGCACCCGCCGAATGTAAAGCTCAAGCCCGCCGTCCTCGCACAGCATCATCGCCGTCTTACGGCAGAGCGTGAGGTTCACGCCCAGCGCCATGACCTCGAGCGGCAAGTACCGCTCCTCTTCCTCCACAATGATGGTGCGGATGAGGCCGACAACGGCGTAGCCAAACGCGGCCTTGGCCTCGTCGTGAACAGACATGTGGTAGAGGACCCGCAGCGCACGGTCCGAGAACGCCGGCTCGCGCACAAGCTCGGCCAGCCGGCCCATGAGCCCGTACTTGATCATGGCGTGGGCATGTTCCTTGTCGAACGAGAGGTTGATGAGCAGGTCGAGGATCGACGCCAGCAGCGCGTTGTTCTTGGCCGCCATCAGCGGCGCCAGCTTCTCCACAACGCCTAGCTTCTTCATGTCGTCCTTGTTCTCCTGGTAGATCGAGAGCTTTTTGAGAAAAGTCGAGACAAGAATGAGCAGCTCGAGGTTGCGCCGTTCGAGCATGGCGACAAGAAACTTGCAGATCGCTTTCTTGCGGAGCTTTTTCTCGACCTCGGTCGACTCGGCAATGTTGAGCAAGAGGTGGAGTGAAACAAAGAGCAGCCGCTCCTGCCGCGCCTCCTTCTCGCGCACAATCTTAAGCTGCTTGTCGAGCCCGGCCCGCACACGCTCTGACGCGTCGGGCGCTCCGGCTGCCTCCTCCTTGGCCCGCAGCTTGGCGAGCCATGCCCCGTGCCGCTTGCTCTCCGTCTCGATCACTCGAAGCGCCGCACGGCCGACCTGATAGTCGGCAATGACATCGTGGAACTGCGAGTACTTGGAGAGCTCAAAGAAGAACTGAACTACGTTGGCCGTCAGCTCCATCGAGCCCTGTGAGCCGGCTGCAGCCTCCTTGAGCACTCGCGAGAGCGCCAGCAGCAGTGTCTCGTTCTTGACCAGCCGCTCAAGGTTGCCCTCCTCATCCTGTGCCAGCTGCAGGATCGACGCTGTCGCCGCCACCTGCGCCTCGGGCGCCTCGTACAGCTGCTCAATGTAGCCTTCGAGCTCGCGCATCGACGCTCCACTCGATGCCGACGCCCGTGCCCGTGGTGGTGACAGCGCCGGGTCTGACATCTTGGTCAGCGCCTGCTGCCGCGCGTAGTACGACGTGGCGTCGGCCGCCCGCTCCTGCAGCTGCAGCAGCAGCTCTTCCACCTCACCCACCTTGGACGGATGGATGAGCTTGCACTTTTCCACAATCTCCGACGCAAGCTGCTTGATGTTCGAGTTGGCCGTCAGCGACGTCAGCCTGATCCGCTTGATGTTGTCCGATGTCCGCGACTCGATCTCCTCGCCATCCTCACCAAGCACCGTCGCCTCTACCGTGTAGTGCACCAGCAGCGTCATCTCGCGCGGGTCCAGCTCCATCCGCCCAGCCTTGACTGCACTCTCGAGTGCCATCGCATTCGCCATCACACATCCTGACGTGAGTCGTTGTCGCCCTCCTCCCGCCCTCCTCCTGTCCCTCCCTCCCTCCTCCCCCAACCTACCCTTTCGCTTCATGAACTTGGCGTGCGACATGGCCGTCTCTCTACCAATCCTCTCTGTCTCTATGGTGTGCTTGCGACGGGTGGCAAAGGTGGTGGCCGGGTGAGGTGGTGGGCGGGCTGGTCACCGGTGACCCTCGTGCCGAAGTGGCGCCAAGCCGAGTGCTGCCGCAGGCAGGGAACAAGCCGTCGGAAGGAAAAGAAGAAAATCGTTCTCGGCGTCACCGCATCATCCGCTGCGGGCGCGCGAACCGAGGCTCCGGCCCCGGCGATCGTCACCAGCATCGACGGCGGCAATGGCTGCCAGTGTGGTCGCCCTGGAGCGCGCCAGCGAGTGTGCCCGGATCGGATCGTAAAGCTCAAACATCATGTCGGTGTTGAGCGCCTCCAGCTCGTACACGAGGTGGGTGGCCTTTGCCATCGACGACGCGATCGCCGTCGACAAACCGTGGGCCTGGTCCAGAAATGCCTGGTGCGCAAGCACATCGCGCATCTCTGGTGGTGCATCCGAGTCGCCGTCCTCGAGCTTGGTCTGCCCCGCCTCGACAGCCGCGTGGTCTTTGGCATCGCCAGCGCGATCGCGACCGCGATCGCGATCACGATCGCGATCGCGATCACCGCCGCACTCGTTCCCGCTCCCGGCCTTCCGCCCTCCAGCCCTCGCAGCGCTCACAGCCGCCGGCGACGACGACGGCGGCGGCGGCAGGCCGGCCACTGGTGGCGGCATGGCTGCGGCCAACGCCGATAGCTCCATCGGCTGCGGATCGTCGTCGTGCGGGTCGTCAAAGTGGAACATGTCGCCTGAAAAAGGTCGTCAAGTGCCAGCCGCCAGCCGCCAGTCACGAGGGCAGTCAGTCGGTTGCCTTGCAACGCGACACCAAACGATGAATGGCCTTTTGAGGAGACATTCGTGGCCACACGACGCCAGCCGGTCGCCTCAGACACGTCCGGTGGCAATACTCGACTCACACCCAGTATGGCAGCCAACTTCCAAGCAGTGCGGATCAAGAAGGGTAAGGCGACGTACGAAGTGCTCACCCACCCGAACACCATCAATGGGTATCGTGACGGAGCGGTGGCGCTCGACTCGTGCCTCGCTGTCGAGCAGGTCTTCCGGAACTCGTCCAAGGGCGAGACGGTGGCGCTCTCCGAGCTGCAGGATGCGTTTGGCCTCGAGACCGAGATGGATGTGGCGCGGCTGATTCTGGACGAGGGCGAGGTCATGCTCAACGCTGCCGACCGCAAGGCCAAGATGGATGAGGTCCATCGGGCGGTGGTCGCTTTCATCCACAAGCACTTTGTTGACCCCAAGTCGATGTCGCCGCATCCGCTTGTCCGCATCGAGAACGCGCTCGTCGAGGCCAAGGTCCGGCTCGACATGGACACCTCGGCCGAGGACCAAGTCAACGGCGTCATCAAGAAGCTTCGCCCCATCATTCCGCTCAAGAAGGCCGAGCTCGAGGCCACCGTCACCCTTTCCCATGCCAAGATGGGCGCGGCGCTCGGCGTCCTCCACGGCCACGCCCAGGTCGGCCATACAGACTACACTGCCGACGGCTGCGTCGTCTCCATCGGCCTTCTCCCGGGCGACCTGGATGGTCTTGTTGCTGCCCTCGACAAGTGCACCTCTGGAGAGTACTCGCTCACCATCGCCGGCACCGAGGACCTTGCCGTCGCCGAGAGCGAGGCCGCTGCCTCGGGCAAGGGAAAGAAGAAGGGCAAGGGCGGGAAGAGGGGCAAGAAGGGCAGAAAGTAAGGCTGTGCCGGTAAAACACGGATGAAGATGTAGCGCGTTTCAATCAAGCTCCTCTCGCCATAGCCAATAGGAGGAGCAAGCCACGTCGCCGTCAGTCCCGCTTCGGCAACGATGGCGAGACTGGTGTAACCGGCGACGCCGGCGGCGAGCCGGCAAGCACCGCCGGCGGATCGATGCCAATTGCGCTGGACACGTTGTGGCGCCCGTCGGCAAACTTGGCCTCGTATCGCCGCGAGAAGACGTCAAAGTAAAAGTTGGCACCGTTCCAGAGCGAGACGCCTAGGAGTGCGACGAGGAGCGCAATGTGCAGATGGACAGAAGAGTAGATGATCGGAATGGGCAAGATGGTGATGACGGTGTACACAAACTGCGTGGCCATAAAGATGACCTTGGTCTTGACTGTCGAGGCATCAAACTTCTCGGTCGGTCCCATGACGCCGATGCGCCGCAGGAGCGAGAGCACCAACTTGTGCATCGGGTTCTTGTCGTCGGCCGAGAGCCAGCGCAGCGAGGTCGTCAGCGTCTTGTCGGCCTCGAACTTGGACCGGTCGCGGACCTCGGTCTTGTAGTAGTACAGAACTTGCCACACAAGGTAGATGGCCATCGGCATGACAAACCAGCCCACAAACGAGATGGGTGCGTGAAAGTGCGACGCCATGGTGTTGTACTCGGCCCACTGCGTCGTTGCCGCCGTCGCCAGACTCACGCCCTCGGGCACCGCAGGGTACCAGTGGAGGGTAAAGGTGAGCATGGCCGGAAAGGCGTGGATAAAGACCGAGGTGACCTTGTCCAGCGAGTGGAAGACCATCGAGCACCGCCAGGTGGGAATGGCCCAGAGGAGCGGGCCGTTGGCGAGCGTAAAGATGGCGGCATGCCATTCGGTAGCAGACGCGGGCGTCCACACAGAGATCAGGCACAGCGCCTGCACCACGTAGCAAAAGTCCATAAGGAAGAGGTGCCAGTTGAGCTTTGCGTACATGACGTACCGCGCCACGCAGAGCGCCGGCATGATGAGCGCGAACCAAGCGCCAAACAGCACTGGGTACAGGATCATGACGTACTCGGTGAGGATGATGCCCACCAGAATGCCCAGCAGGAACGAGAGCTTGTCCTTCATCCGCACCGCCTTAGGTGTTCTGATCCGCTCCCGGATGTGGTCGCGGATCCTCACATCCTCCTTGCCCGTCACCACCTTGCGCCACGCACCACGCCCGCGCGCCACCCGGTCATTCACCCGCGCCACCTTGTCTGAAATGAACGGCTTGCCCTTGGACGCCCACATCTCCTTGATCCGCGCCGCCACTTTGGCCCGCGAGCCTGCGCTCTCGTTGCCCTCGGCCGTCAGCTTGTCCAGCAGCCGCGTCAGCAGGTCCTCGTGTTCCATGCCTTCGCTCCCCGGCGACCCTTCCCCAACCCGCTCCGGCGAGCCACCCACGTCCCCGCCCCAGCCCCCACCTTTCTGTCTGCCACCTCTGTCATCACCTCTGTCAGCCATTATACCCTCCTACCGACTTGCAGCTGAGTCTACAACCAAGTCCTTGCTCTCTCTACCCACCAACCAGCCGTCTACCAACGTCCACCAACGTCAGAGAAAGGTCGTGAAAGGCGTAACTGACCGTCACACCGCAACCATTTGTCACACTACCAGCCGAAACTCCCGTGTGGCCTTGCCACTTTGTCGACCACCGAACACGAACAACCACGTCAGACAGCCGACGCGTGCGGTGGTGACTTGTGGCGACGACGACAGAAGGCTTCCTCCACTTCACCCTGTACCCCCCTCCCCCTCCCCCCCCCCCCCCCCCCCTCCTTCCCCTCTTCCTCTCCCTCTATACCGCTATGGCGGACGCCACCTCGCCAGAGCCTCCTGGTGACAAGGCTATCAAGGTCATTGTGAGACCCCGGCCGGTGTCGGCGTCGGAAGAGGCGCGACAAGCCCAGGTGGTGGTCTCGGTGGCTCGCTCGCAGAACATGGTGGAGCTGGTGGACCCACTGTCGTTGCCGCGGCAGGCGCGAGATGCCTCGGTTCCGCGATCGCAGTCGCCTGTGGCCTCGCCACCGTCACGTCCGTCGTCGGCTGCCTCCAACTCGCGCTCCAAGGTCTTTGCCTATGACGCCGTCTGCTCGGCCTATGCCTCACAGGACGAGGTCTTTGAGCTGGCTGTCTCACCGCTGCTGGACGCTGTTCTCGACGGCTTCAACGGCTGCGTCTTTGCATACGGCGCCACTGGCGCAGGCAAGACTTACACCATGCTCGGCGCCTCTGATGACGGCGCCGAGTATGCCACCCGCGGCCGCGGTGCCGGCCTCATCCCGCGCACTCTCGCCGCCGTCCTCGCCGCGGCTGCCACGGCTACTGCCTCCGAAGGCCTCGACGCGTCGGCCTTTGACCTCGCCATCGCCTACATGGAGATCTACAACGAGTCGGTCATCGACTTGCTCAACCCCGAGTCGGAGCCACTCGAGCTTCGCGAGGACAGGGCCGGAGCTCTGGTCGTCTCGGGCCTCACTTACCACCCGTTCACCTCGCTCGAGCAGGGCATGGAGCTTGTTGCTCGCGGCTCGGCCATGCGAACGACCGAACCAACCGCTGCAAACCTCGTCTCCTCGCGCTCCCACGCCATCCTCCAGGTTTTTGTCACCAAGACTGTCGTCGCAGACTCGGTTGTCACCGCCAAGCTCTCGCTCATCGACCTGGCCGGCTCGGAGCGCGCGGCAGCGACCCGCAACTCGGGCCTGCGCAAGGTTGAAGGCGCCAACATCAACCGCTCTCTCCTTGCTCTCGGCAACTGCATCAACGCCCTCGCTGACGCCGCCACCGCCGCCCGCCCGCGAACCCCATTTATCAACTACCGCGACTCGAAGCTCACCCGCTTGCTCAAGGACTCGCTCGGTGGAAACTCGCAGACTGTCATGATTGCCAACGTGGCTCCGACCGCCGCCGCCTACGAGGAGACGCTCAACACGCTCAAGTACGCCGCGCGTGTCTCCACTATCCGCACCCGACCGGTCCGGAACACCCACGCCGTCGACTACAGAGTCACCCAGCTCAACGACGTCATCGACGAGCTCCGTGCCCAGGTTGCTTCGCTGCAGGACCAGCTCCGCACTGTTGCCTCGCCAATGCGCACGTCGGAGCACTCGGAGCCGGCCCGCCCGGCCACGGCGCCGCCCGGTGGTGGACCGGCCGGCTTTTCCAACCGCACAGCCCTCCGCCAGGCCCGATCTGCGCTCCGCTCCAACTTTCTCCGCCGCCGCGAGCTCGCTGCCAAGCTGGCCCGCATCGATGAGGCTGTCGCCGTCGCTCAGGCGACTCAGCTCCGCGCCCAGGTAACTCTCTCGCACTACGCCGCTCATTCGCCGCACAAGTCGGTCAACTCGCCGGCCGCGCTCCCGCCTCACGTAGTCGCTGCGCGCACTGCCGGCGACGCCGCCTCGGCCCGTGCCGCCAAGCTCCTTGTCACCCGTGCCGCCCTGCAGACCGAGCTCGACAAGTGTGACGTCCACGCGTCGGCCGTCGTCGACATGTTCTCCGCCGGCGAGTCTGGTCGCGCCCTTGACATTGTTGAGCTTGAGCAGCAGGTCCGCCTCCTCGAGGCAGAGAACATCACCCTTCGCACCAAGGCCTCGTCTGGTCCCGATGCCTCGGCCTCGCGTTCGCAGCTCCTCATCCGCCAACTACGCGCCGAGCTCACCTTTAAGAACGCGCTCATTGCTGCACAGTCACGGGTCCTGGCCGACCATGGCTGGGACGACCCGGGTGCCGCCGCCCTCGAGCCATCGGGTATGTCCGGCCTCCTCCACAATAGCTCGTCGTCGTCGTCGGACGCCGACGATCCTCTACATGCGGCCCTTGACGCGCTTCCGCCGCTTCTTCCGCTCCTGTGCGACCAAGGCCACGAGACGGTTGCCGCTGCCAAGTCACTCGAGGCCCAATCGCGATCGGCCTCGTTGTCGCGGTCGCGGTCGCGGTCGCGGTCGCGGTCGCGGTCGCCTCTTGAGCTCTCTATTGATGTTGACAATCTGGTTCTCTCGCCTTCGGCCGCCGGCCTTGTTGCCGCAGCCACTGCGCCCGACAGCGACTCGCCGTATGATGTCGAAGTCGAGCAAGTCGCTGCCCGGGCCGTCGGGCGCGTCAGCCAGTTGAAGCAAAAGGCTCGCATGCCAAACGCCAAGCACGCTGACACAGACACGGATGGCGGCGTCGAGTCTGGCGGCTCTTGGTGGTCTTCCGAGTATGCGTCGGACTCGGGCTCGGACTCGACAGTACGGATGGCGCCATCTGCCTCTGTTCACTCAATAGGCGCAGGCTCATCGTCGTCGTCGTCGCTAAAGCTGCCGTCGTCGCCGTCGGCGCGGCCGCCGGTGGCCCAGCCGCTGCGGGCCGCCCCGCTTGCGCCGCTCCAGCGGACCGTGTCGGCAACTTCGGTGGCGTCGACCGGCTCGTCGTCATCGACAACGACAGCATCGTCGGAGCGTCTTGCGGCACTGGCGCCGCAGATCGCCCCTGCCCCGCGCGTTCCGCCACGGCCGCACCGCCGCCACCCACCCACACTCCCGCCACTGCCGGTTACCGCGCCATCGACGCAGTCCTCAACCTCACCCCGTCCTGGGTCTGCGTCCGACTCGTCCGATGCCGATGACGCCGGCGATGCACAGCCGCGTGCCAGTACCGGAACAGCCGCTGGCGCTGGCGCTACTGAGTTCGCAGAAGTGGCTGCAATGACTGGCGGACAGGTCATCTCGTCCGACGAGTACCAGGGTATGATGCGCGAGATCTTGCGGATGGAGGCGATGTCTGCCGACCTTGCGCTCCGGCACTCACCGCCGCCAGCTTCACGGCCGACGTCGTCGAGCTCGGCAAGGCCTAAAGCGCTGCTCTCGTCACAGGAACGGACGATTCGTGACCAGCGCAAGCAGCGAATTCGCGACCGGCTGCGGTCGCGGCGTAAGACCGAGCCGTCGCCGCCGGTTGCGCCGCCGTCGCACTCCAGCGCCCGCCCGCGCGGCCGCCGCTCACGCGTCCGCAAGCGCATCCGCAACAACACCAGCTCTCCAAGCTCGGACGAGTCGGGCGCTCGGACCGGCTCGTCACCGGGTTCAGGATCAGGCGCCGCCGCCGCACTCGCTGCCCGGCAGCGCTCTCAGAAGCGCTACCAGCAGCGCAAGCTCTCACCGGAGCTCCGCTTTGCCCACAACCGCTCACGCCTGCCTCGCGGGTAAATGTATTTCATTCCTTAGCCGCCAACGTGCTGCACTCTTCGCTCAGCTCTCACTCGAGTGTGTCGAGTCGTCGTCGGACTTGTGGCTGTGCTCCAGGTGCTGCAGCGCCGATGAGAGCTCGACAAAGGAGATACCGTCGCCGCCGTGGCGTCGGCGCGCCGGCTGGTGCGGGTGGCCGTGGCGGCGGGCACTGGCGGTCGGCGACGCGGAGGCGTCAAGCGACGACGAGGCCTCATACGCAATGGCAACGTCGAGCTGGGCCTGGACCGAAGAGTTGAGCGCCAGGTGTGGCGCGGTGGCAATGCCCGAGCCGGCCGATGAGCCCTGCCCGCCGGTCTCACCCTCGATCAGTGAGGGCAGCGGCGGCGAGCTCCCGCGAGCTCCCGAAAGCCAAGGGTGCGCCAGCGCCTGGCTCGCAGTCAGCCGCGCTGCGGGATCGACCCTCAGCAGGCCGGCGACGAGGTCGCGCGCCTCGGGCGAGATGGCGTCCCAGTGCGGCGACGGAAAGGCGAGCTTACCGGAGCGGATGGCGTCAAGCATGGCATCGGGGTCGCCGACCTGTGGCGTAAACGGCGCAAAGCCGCAGAGCATGGCATACAAGACACAGCCGGCGGCCCAGATGTCGATGCGGTGGTCGTACGCTGCGCCGCCGTGCTCGTCGAGGTGCGACTGGACGAGCTCGGGCGCCAGGAACGCCGGCGTCCCACACGGCGTCCGCGTCCCCTTGCCATGCAAGTTCTTGGCAAGGCCGAGGTCGATGACGCGGATGGCAAGCGAGTGCGGCTCCGAGAACACAATGTTCTCCGGCTTGATGTCGCGATGGACCAGACCGCGCCCGTGCAAGTATTGGATGGCAGCGAGGAGCTGGGCCATGATCGACGCAGCGTCGGCCTCGCGGAAGACGCGCAGCCGGCGCAGCCGGTCAAAGAGTTCGCCACCGGAGCAGAGCTCCATGACCAGCGCCACCTGTGTCTCCGACTCGTACACTTCATACAGATGGACAAGGCCCGGGTGCGCCCGCTTGCGGTCGCCAGCAATCTTGCGCAGCAGACGCACCTCGTTGGCCACTTGCCGGAGCTCACCGACGCCGGCTTTGTCGATGATCTTGAGCGCAAACAGCCGCCGGTCGCTCCGGCGCACCACCTTGCGGACCACAGACGACGCGCCTGTGCCCAGCAGGCCGTGAGGGACCGCCTCGTACGCCGTCCACACGTCGGCCCGCTTCGCCCCGGCCACCACACGCCCAGCGTCCACCACGCTGCACCCGTCGGGCACCGCAATACGCAGCGACGACATTCCCTACGAGCCTTGTGCCACTTTTCCCGCGCCGCGAGCAAAGTGTGCCCCACACTTTGCAGCCCGCCACCGTGCTCGGCTCGCGTATTGGCTCTCCTCGCTGCCGTCGTGCGGCGGAATGGAAGGAAACGGGTGCGAGGCGGCAGAGCCAATCAAATGTATGCGTTAAAAACAAGTGAGACTTTTTTTCTCCCACGTTTGTCCTCGTCATCCAGTGGTTAGGATCCGTGCCTTCTATCGTAAGCACGTCACGCGAGTTCGAATCTCGCCGGGGACTTTGCATCACCAGATGCCTTTTTTTTTTTACCTCCCGCGCTCACCCTGCCTTTCATCTCACCAAAGCCATCCTCTACCTGTGCATCTACCATCTGCACCGTCCTCTACCTCCGCAACTATGTCATGCAGTGAGTCTGCTCTCCGATCAGGCTCCTCGTGCCGTCATCTTGACCGGCAAACGTTGGACACATGCGTTGATGCTTCCTTTCGAACCGCGTTTTTCCGTTCGAACGCGGTTTGGCGTTGCAAAGTGGTCAAAAAGCAAGCAAGAACGCGCAGGCTCACAGACCTACTCCAGGCAACCATCACATCTAACAAAACTTGACATGCTTATTCCCGCAGGACTCTACTACGTTCATCCCTCGTACCAGCGCCGGACGGCGCTGCCTCTCTCCGCAGCCTCGGTGGCAGCGACCATCGCCGACGGCTGTGCCCGCGTCGCCCTCACGCAAACCTTCTCCAACGTGACGACGGCTTCGCTTGAAGCGACATACCTGCTCCCCATGGACGAGGGCGCGGCAGTGGTCAGCTTTGAGGCCAATTGCAACGGCCGCATCGTCACTGCCCGCGTCGAAGAGTCTGGCGCTGCCAAGGCTGAGTACGACGCCGCACTCGCTCGCGGCGATGGCGCGTACCTTCTCGACTCGGTTTCGTCAGAGCACTTCACCATCGCCGTCGGCAACATCCCGTCGGGCGCCGAGGTCACCATCACCACCACGTACGTGGCCAATCTGCGGACTCGCGGCGATGTGTACTCATTTGTTGTTCCCAACCGACTTGCGCCCAAGTACGGCGCCTCGCTCGCGCCCGAGGCTAAGCACCTCGACGCCACCGTCCCGCTCGATCTCGTCGTCCAGTGGACGATGAGCCCCGGGCTCGCCGAGATGGACTCTCCCTCGCACCCGGACGTTGTTGACTCGGTCGTCGTCTCGGACGACGGAGCCGGGGCATCGATATCCGTCTCCCTCGCTTCGCTCGAGACAGACTTTGTCCTCAACGCCGTCGCCGTCACCCCACCCGGCCCGATCCTCCTTGTCGAGAACCGGAGCCTGCCGTCGGGCGTGACGACTCAGGCCGCTATGGTCTCGTTCACGCCTCAGCTCGAGGTGCCTGACCAGCGCACCGAGCTTGTCTTTGTCATCGACCGCTCAGGCTCGATGGGCGGCTCCAAGATCGAGCACGCCCGCAAGGCCCTGCAGCTCTTCCTCCGTTCACTCCCGGAGGACTGCTACTTCAACATTATCGGATTTGGCTCACGGACCGACTTTTGCTTTGATCTCGGCGCCGCCGTGCCATACAACGACCAGACGCTCGCCCGGGCAACCGCCCACATCGCGGGCATGGGCGCAAACCTCGGCGGGACCGAGCTCCTCGCTCCGCTCAAGGCCGTCTTTGCTTCACCCACTCGCCCGGGTTTCAGCCGCCAGGTCTTTGTCCTCACCGATGGCCAAGTCTCCAACACCAACACAGTGATCCAGGCGGTGGCCTCGGCCCTCAAGGCGGCGACATCACCGACCCGCGTCTTTACCCTTGGCCTCGGCAACGGCGCCTCGCGCGCGCTGGTCAACGGCATGGCCCGCGCCGGCAACGGCACCGCGTTCTTCATTGACGATGACGCCGCTGCCGTCCTCACCGCCACTGTCGTCCGTCAGCTCAAGCAAGCGCTCCAGCCGCAGATCACGGGCCTTACGCTCGAGTGGACGTCGACCGACGGCTCGGTTGCCCGGACCAACGTTGCGCGCCCTCCTCATCTCACCGCATCCAAGGCCGCGCCGCCGGCCACCACCCGCAAGGTCTTGCGCATCGCGCCCAAGGCCAACGCAGCCGACAGCGCTGGCGCGGCTTCATCCGTGTCGGCGCCTTCGACTTCCGCTCCAGCCTCTGCTGTTGTCCAGGCCCCGTACTCAGCCCCGGCGCTGTTCAACGGCGAGCGCTTTGTCGCCTTTGCCTTTTTCAAGCCCTCGTTCGGTACGCCTGCCAGACTCCGGCTCTACGACGCATCGGGCGAGATTGACTTTGCTGTCTCTCTCGAGACGCTGCAGGCTGTCGAGGGCGAGACCGTTCACGCGCTTGCCGCGCGCGCGCTCATCCGCGATCTCGAGGAGGGCTCGTCGTACATGCACGCCACAGCAGCCGGCTCGGCCGCCATCAGCGCCGAAATCGTCCGCCTCGGCACCGCCTTTGGCCTCGCCTCGACTAAGACCTCGTTTGTGGCTGTCGAGCATCGATCGGACGCCGAGCGCATGCAGATCGTCGGCCATGCTGGCGCCCGTGCCGTGCTTATCGCACCGCGGGCTCCGCCGGCGATGCGCCTGCAGGGACGTAACCGGGGCCGTGGCGGTGCACGCAAGAAGATGAGCCGGGCCCGCCGCAGCGGCGGCGGGGGCATGACTGGCGGCTTTGGCGGCATGCCCTCAACCGCCCCGCGAATGTTTGCCGCATGCGCGTCGGCCCCGCCTATGCCGGTGTTTGCGATGAGCTGCTCGGCTGCGCCCGCACCGATGGCGATGTGCAACAGCCTCTCGTTTGATGTTGATGACGACTGCGACGCGATGCCGATGGAGCTTGCGATGGAGAACTGTCTCGCTGCACCTGCTGCCAGCGCGCCTGCCGTCGACTACCAGTCCATCGCTGTCGAACTCGCCATGCTCCAGTCGACCAAGGGCATGTTTGGGGCGTCGGCACTCGCGCATCTTCCCTCGGGCAAGACGACCAAGCCGAGCACCGCTGGTGCGGCCTCGGAGAGCGCCTGGGTCACCGCCCTCGTCCTTGCCTACTTTGCCAGCCCGCACTTCCGCGCGTACTACGATGAGATCGAGCTCGTCATCTCCAAGGCTCGCAAGTGGCTCGCGTCCACCCTCGGCGACACCTCCTCCGCCAACGCGCTCATTGCCACAGCAAAGTCAGTCCTTGCAGCATAAACCCCCAAAACAAGGCCCGCCACATACAGTTGTTCGCCCTCTGCTTGATCGCCATGTCCGCTCGCCCGGTCCCTCCACCACTCGTCGTTCGTCCGCTCGTTCGTTCGCGCCGATTCCGCGCGGAGTTCCCCGGAACACGGCCCTCCCCTTCCCTCCCCTTCCCCCGCCCGCGCACCGCACCGCACTCCACCTCGCCAACCGGTTGTGTGACAGGACCATGCGGAAACGGATGCCACCACCAAGTGTAGAGGTACCGCTTGTCCCACTGCCTCCCTCCGCACCTCCCTCGCCCCTTGCAGAGGGCCATGGCCCCACACCTACGCCCGGAACCGGAGGTCGTGCGCCATGCGAGGCTGCCCTGCCGGCGCCTCCGTCGCGGGCGCTGCCACCGGGTGCTGCGCCACACGCACGGCTGCTGGCCGCAGTCGACGCCGGTGACACACGCGCAGCATTGGCACTGACCAGAGCTCACCCGGACATGGACATCAATGCCATGGCAGAACTCGGATGGCTGGCGGCGCCGCGCGGGAAGACCACCGCCCTGCTGCTTGCTGCCCGGGCCGGTGACGTTGGCATGATGGCCGCGCTGGCCACCGTCCGCGGCCTGCGACTCGATCTGGCCGACGACATCTCCGGAACGGTGCTCCACGCCGCCGTTGCCTCGGGTTCGCTCGATGCCCTCCGCTTTGTCCTCGACACCCTGGCTTGCATATGCAACCGTGAAGGGAAGCTCGCTGGCCTCCGCGGCGAGGTGGCGCTCAATCCGATCGGCCCGGCGGAGAGCGATGGCCTCACACCGCTGCTGCTTGCGGTCCGCGCAGGCTCCACGGCCATGGTTTCCGCCCTTCTCGCCACCCGCGGCGTTGACTCTTCCGCTTGCTCGGCGTCGGGCCAGTCGGCGGCATACCTCGCTGCCAAGCACGGCCACCTCGACGTCCTCCGGTTGCTTGTCGACGATGGCCGGACATGCATTGACACGCCCGACGACTACGGCTACACTGCGCTCCATGTGGCGACCCAGCACAAGCGTCTCGACTTTGTCACCTATCTCATCGAAGACGTCGGGTGCTCGCCCGAGGCGACAACCGCGTCGGGCGCCATTACTCCGCTCTATCTCGCAGCGCTGGTCGGCTCGCTCGACTTGGTCAAGTACCTGCTCGAGCGGCACAACGTCGACCCGAACGTGCCATCGGATAAGGGTTGGTATCCGCTCCACGCCGCGGCGCAAGGCGGGCACGTCGCCGTCCTCCGTCACTTCCTTGAAGACGGCGGCGCCAAGGGTGACGTCGTCACCTCGCGTGGCTCGACGCCCATCTACGTCGCAGCCAACTTTGGCCACGCACCTGCCGTCCAGCTCCTTGCCGAGTACGGAGTCGACCCGGAGCGCAAGCAGCACTCGGGCTGGTGCCCGCTCCACATTGCAGCTCACGTGGGCGCCCTCGACGTAGTTCGCTACCTTGTGCTAGAGGCCGGCGTCAACGCCCGCACCCGCACCGCCAAGGGGGACTCGGTCATCTTTATCGCCGCAGGCCGCGGCTTTCTCGACCTCACCCGCTTCCTCATCCACGACGTCGGCCTCGATCCGACCGAGCCGGCCAACGATGGCTTTACGCCGATGCTCTTTGCCATCGAAAACGGAAACCTCAACGTGGTCCGCTACCTCTTTGAGGAAGAGGGCGTCGACATCACCGTCCGTGGACATGCCCACCAGTCGGCCGTCTACCTTGCGGCCTACTACGGTCACATGGAGACGGCTCGGTATCTCATCGACGTCGTCCGCGACACCCGTGGCGCGAGCATCGACGTAGAAGCGCCCGAAAAGTCCGGCTACACACCGGTCCATGTCGCCGCTCTCCGCGGCCACTACGACATCCTCGAGTACCTGCTTTCAGTCGGCGGCGCATCGCCGCACGTCCTCACCGACAATGGCCAGTCGCTCCTCTACGTGGCGGCCAAACGGAACGAGACCGCCATCCTACGCTTCCTCTTGGAGAACTATCCCGAGCTTGACAAGGAGGCGGCCCAACTGCAGGGCTTTAACCCGCTTCTTATCTCAGCGCAAGAAGGCAATCTCGAGTCGGTCAAGCTCCTCATCGACCACGGCGCCCGTTGCGACGCCCGCACCCGCAACAACCGCTCAGTTCTCTTCATTGCTGCCAAGAACGGCCACGTCGACCTCGCTCGCTACCTCCTCGCCTACCACCGCGACCCGGGCGCCTTTGATGTTGCCGCCTGCCTCGCTGGTTCCGACTCACCGGCTGTCCGCCATCTGCTCCGCTGGTTCCTCGACATCCAGGACCTGGCTGTTGCCTGGAAGCCGACCAACCATGTTTTCTTCCCACGTCACGTCCGCGATGCCATCTGGACCACACTCCTCATCGCCCGAAGCGTCGACCCCGAGTCGCGGACCTATCGGTACGGCGACTCACTCGTCTCACAGCTACCAAACGAGCTGCTGCTACAAGTCTTTGCTTGGGTGGCCACGCCGCCGTGGGATGGTCCTGTTGCAGCCGCCTCTACGCTGTAAATCACTCCAACTCCTCACAGCGAGTCGACAACAAAGCGCGCATACTTGGTGACGACCGAGAGCAGTACCGACCACGCCTGGTCCAGCCGGGCGTGGTTGTTCTTGCTCATCACCAGCACCACCTTGGCCGCCTTGGCCAGCGCCGTGCTTTGCTCGTTGAGCGACGCCTCGTCGAGCCCGTCCACACCGCGGGCGTACTGGATCGTCTTGACAAGGTGAGACGAGAGACTGTCCACCTTTTTGCCCTTGATGGCCACCAACAGCGGCTTGAGCTGGGCTCGGAACTCGGGCAGCAAAGCTCGCGCCGCGACGGCGATTCAAGCGTCAGCTCGGCCGCAGGTCCCGGCCCTGACTCTGGTTCTGGCTCTGGTTCGGGCACCGGCTCTGGTTCTGGCACCTGCTCGCGTGGCGGTGCGCGCCGGACGATCGGCTTGGGCTTGGGTGGCAACGGCTCGGGCTCGTATTTGGGGGCTTTGCGAGTGACCAGCGGCTTGGGCTTGGGCGGTGACGACGAGTACGACGAGGTTGGTGAGTACGGCGAAGCTGGCGAGGTCGGCGAGGCCGGCGAGGTCGGCGAGGCCGGCGATGCGCGTGACGGAGGCATGAACATGTTCTTGCCCGAGTCAAACTCGGGCGGCGGCGGGATAAAGGTCGAAGATCGCGGAGCAGCGCCGCCCGGGCCGAGTGTGAGGCCCGCAGCTAGGCCAAGGCCACCGCCGCCGCCTACCGTGCTCGCCTGCTTGGCCGCCGGCGCGGGCTTGACTGGCTGTGGCGACTCGAGAGTCCCGTCGCCGACGAGGTGCTTGCGGAGCGCCGCAAGGCCCTGGTACGAAGACATCGATGACAGCGCACCGCCAGACGAGAGGTCCGACTCGTCGTACGAGTCCAGACCGGCAAAGGCACGCGAGTTGCGCGACGCCGGCGTATTGACCTTGCGGCGGCGCCGCGTCGCGTCCGACGACTCGTCGACGGTCGAGCCTCGATTGCGAACTTTGGGCGATGACGAACCACCCGAGGCGAGGACACCACCGGGCTTGTACTGCGGACTGCCTGAGCCCGGCAGCGGTGAGACGGTCTGCGACCGCAAGCGAAGGTTCGCACCCGGGCTGCCAGCAAGACCCGACAAGCGTGGCGAGGAGCCCGCGTTGTCACTCATAGAGCGACCGGCGGCGAGCATAATGCTGCGCTGCGAGTCGCGCTTGGCGACTTGCGACGGCGCGCTGACAACCGACGCGGTCGACTCGGATGACTCGGGCCGGACTGAGCCGCGGTCGTCGTCGCCGCCGCCATCGTCGTCGTCGTCGTCGCCAGCAGCAGCATATTCGACAGCGTCGGCACTGCGCTTGGCCGAGGCGGCGACCGCGGCGCGGGCCGACTTGGATCTTGCGCGGGCGTTAGCGGTCTTGTCGGCAGTCTCGGCTTGGAGCCGCAGGATGTCGCTAAGCCAGGAGATCTTCTCGGTCCGGCTCCGGCAACCGATCTCGTAGTCTTTGCCGCCGAGGACGTCGATGCGGAACTTGGCCGAGTCTGGCAGGTCAACCACGGTGATGCGGTCGAGGGCAAAGCCCTGGCGAACGTCGTAAGTGGTCGAGCCGCGGCGCAGCATCTTGCCGTTCTCACGAGTCCATACAATCATGTCCGAGAAGAGGAAAAAGTACCGCTTCTGCGACTTGGACTTGGTTCCGACCCGCGAGGTCTTGACCAGCTGACCCTCGCGGACAAACGAGCGGCCTGGCTGAAGAAGGTTGAGCGCCTCACCGCCGACCAGCCTGCGCGCAACCTCGTGCATCTTTTTGACTTCACGCCACTTTCGGGCCTCTGAAGCCATCCGCGCTTGGGCCTCATCCTTGCTCCGCTGGCGGTCAACGGCTTGCGCCTCTGCGGCCGTCATGCTTGACTCGAACGACGCGAGCGGCGTTGACTTACGTGGCGGTTGCTTGGGCTTGGGCTTGCGCTCGGGCTTGGGTTTGAGTTCCGGCTTCGGCTTGCGGTCCGGCTTGGGCCCGGGCTTGGGCTTGCGTTCGGGCTTGGGCCCCTTCATCGCCTGCCGCCGGTTGGAAAGCGGCGGCGGCGCGTCGATCTGGATGACAACAGCGACTTCGGCCGGCACCGGCTCGGGCACCTGAGTCACGACAGCGGTTCGTGGCGGACGACGGGGCTCGCGGCGGGCCCGAACGGCACCTGCGGCCGGTGCACGGCGGGCGACCGGCCGCGTCGCGGTCTGCGCGGCAGAGACCGGCGGACGATGGATCGATTTGCGCGCCTGAGCTCTTGCCTCAGCCATGCGCTGAGCGGCGGCGGCGATCGACGCGGCACGGCGGCGCTCGGCGGCAATGGTCTCCTGCCGCTCGCGTTCGCGGCGTTCACGCTCAGCTTGAGCCTTGGCCGCGGCCCGAGCGGCTTCGGCGGCGCGGCGCTCTTGCTCGGCACGCCGGGCGCGTCCGACCTGGTTGGCGAGGACGAGGCGAGCTAGCGCCTTGAGATGACCCACGCTGGTCGCTTGCAGCGCGTCGAGGCTTTTTTGTAGCTCGTAGGCGACGAGGGTAGTGCGGAAGTAGATGCGGGTCTTACCGAGGGCAACGTCGGACGAGCCGGCGAGGCCGCGGGCGGCGAGGATGGCGTTGGCGGCAGCGGCGATGGCTGGGTCAGGCCGGGTCGGACGCGCCGACGGCGGCTCGCGCTTGAGCCGCGCCACGACGTCGGCCACAGCGGCCGACGACGGGAGGAGCGAGCCAAAGCGGAGCACAAACTGGGCATAGCCGTAGCGGGCGGCAAAGCCCGAACGGCGGACACGGCAGGTCTCGGCGAGGTTGAGGTAGCCGATTTGGTCGAGAACCTTGGCACGGTCAAAGGTTAGCGGAGCCTTGGTTGAGTTCGGCTTGATGCAGCGAATGTAGTGGGCTTGCGAGGTGGCAAGGCGAGCCATGAGGCCCTGAACGGCGACCTTGAAGCGGCCAGCGGCCATGCCGGCCTTGCGGCGGCGCGAGCCGATCGAGCCTACTGAACCGATCGATCCGTTCTTGGAGGAGCCAAGGAGCGAGCGAGAGCCGGAGCGAGAGCCGGAGCGGGCTGGCGGCTCGTCGGGCTCGTCGGGCGCGCCAAAGGTGGCGATGGCCGGCGATGACGAGAGCTCGAGGAGAGCAAGCAGGTCTGGAGAGAGGGCCGAGGCGTTCTTGATCAGAAAGGCGTCGGTGGTGTAGGTGACCGAGCCGGCAAAGTGCTGGATGCGGAACTGCGCCGGCCCCAGCGACCGGTCGCGGCTCACGCCGTACGAGGCGTACGCAGGCGAGTCCGAGACGTACGAGTCGAACTTTTTGACGAGTGTCTCGCCAAAGGCTTGGGTCTCGAGGCCTGACCCTGCGCCTGCGGACGCGTTGTTGTTGGTGGCGAGCATGCATGCTTCGTCGAGAATGGCAAAAATGCCTGTCCGCGACTCGATGAGGAAGCAGGTGTCGGCGTTGTCAGCAAACGGAATGTGCGCCCACGGGAGGCCCTCGTCGGTGTACTCGGCCTGCGCCTCGGCAAGAACGGTCTTGATGAACACGTTTTGCAGCTTCTCGTTGGTGTAGTTGATACAGAGCTGCTCGAACGAGTTGACCTCGAAGACCTCAAAGCCGTAAATGTCGAGGACGCCGATGGAGACGGTGTCGGCGAATGTGGCGTCGTCGGCGAGCGAGTCGTTGATGGCGGCGACGACAAAGTCAAAGAGCCGGGCGTAGAGGTGCTTGGCGAGCGAGTCGCGAGCGAGGACCGCCGACGCTGGCGAGAGCGGGACCTTGAGCGAGGCACCGAGCGTGCGAGTGGTGAGAGCGGCGAGGAGCGAGGAGGTCGGGATGGCAAGCAGCGAGGCGATGGCCTCAAGCGGGGCGTCTGGAGCCGGAACGGCGGTGCTGTCGTCGCCGGCAGAAGAGTCAAATGTCACGTTGCCCAGGAGCAGGATGGCGGCGAGGATCTTAAAGATGAGTACCTTGTCCGACTTTGCCCATCCGAGGAGCTCCATAGACTTCCACACATAGGCAAAGTCGCGCTGGAAAGAAGAGCCAGCCGCCGCCGCCGGAGTGATGTCCGAGCAGGCAAGGTAGGCAAAGTGGCCCGGGTCTGGGTGCAGAAAGAGCGACGAGGCGAGCTTGGTCTGCGAGAGCAGATAGTAAAAGATGTGGAAAGAGCGCTCGACCTTGGGGCGGGTCACGACTCGCGAGCGCTCGAGTAGATAGTGCTCGACTCGGGCGTATAGCGGGACGGCGGTGGTGGGGTCGTAGTGGAGCTGGACAAACTTGCCGAACCGGGACGAGTTGTTGTTGCGTGTGGTGACCGCATTGCCAAAGGCCTCGAGAATCGGGTTGGAGACGAGGATGCGGCGCTGGAGGGCTTGGGCGCGGGAGCCTGCAGCATCGCTTGGCATTAGCGACGCCAGGTACTGCATGAAAATCTTTGACGACTCTGTCTTGCCCGAGCCCGACTCGCCCGAGATGACGACGGCCTGATCGACGCGAGCCGAGCGCATGGCACGATGGGCAGCGTCAGCAAGGACGTAGATGTGCGGGGGGACCATAGCAGCATCCTTGTTGCGGTAAGCGTCTCTAATGGGTGGCGAGTAGAGGTCCATAGACGCAAAGGGGTTGAGGGCGACGACCTGTTCGCCCACGTACGTGTACAGCAGATGCTTGTCAAAGCGGGCAGCCAGGAGGTCAGCCAGACTCCCGTCGTCGACCTGTTCCACATTGGCCAAGTCGTCCTCTATCCCACCTCCACGGAGGGGGGCGAGGACGTCAGCCATGTCTACCTATACACACACACACACAGGCGTGTGTGGGTATGGGTATGGGGTATGGGTCTGTGTGGTGGGTTGCGGGAGGGTGGGCCTGTCTGTCCCCACCGTGCGCGTGCCGAGTGTGGCACCTGTGGGAGCAAGGGGTGGAAGGGAGAGGGGGGGGGGGGGGAGGGGGGGGGGATAGTGGTGGTTGTGGTTGTGGTTGTGGTGGTTGTGGTGGCGTTGGTGGTGGTGTTGGTGGTGGCTGTGGTGTTGGTGGAGGTGTGTGCGTGTCGGTGTGTGGCTATGGGGGAGGAGGGTAGTCGTCCTTTGGTGGTTGGCGTGTCGAAGAGAGTGTAGTTTTTTGCCGGCCACGGTCATTGACTGTCTCGACCACGTCAGAAAGGCTCATATAACACCAACGCGACAACCCGGTATTGGGGATGGGGATGGTGTTGGGGATGGGGTAGTGATGGGGATGGTGTTGGGGATGGGGATGGTATTGGGGATGGGGATGGTGTTGGGGATGGGGATGGTGTTGGGGATGGGGATGGTATTGGGGATGGGGATGGTATTGGGGATGGGGATGGTAGTGATGGGGATGGTGTTGGGGATGGGGATGGCCATGGTAGTGATGGTGATGGCCATGCTGGTGATGGGGATGGCCATGCTGGTGATGGGGATGGCCATGATAGTGATGGCCATGGCAATGGCAGTGATGGGCATGGTCATGCTGGTGATGGGCATGGCTGGCCATGGTGGTCCAATCCTTGATACCACAATCAATGACAGGGTGGGCCAGCCGGGCAGGCCTGCCCTTCCCTCCTGCTCCCTTCCGCAGCTGTTCAAGGTCGACCACCCCACCTCCGACCACCGCCCATCATGGCGGGATCGAACGGCGGGAGCTCCCCTGGACAGTCTGTGCGGGTGGTGGTGCGGATGCGGCCTCCTAGACGGGCGGGCGCGGCGGTGGCCGTGGTGGCCGTCCCTGGTGAGGCCACGGTGCGCATGGTGGCGGACCAGAGCGGGACTGGCGAGGCGGTGTACACCTACGACAGCGTGTACGACGACAAGGTCCCACAAGAGGCACTGTTCGAAGCGGAAGGCCACTCGGTCGTCGACGCTGTCTGGTCGGGCTTCCACGCATGCGTCTTTGCCTACGGCCAGACAGGCGCCGGCAAGTCGCACACCATGATGGGCTCGCTGGCAAGCGCAAGCGGCCACGGGCTCATCCCCCGCATAGCCGCGGCACTAGCCGAGCTCAAGGCCAGCGACGACCCCGAGGCCTCGATCGAGTTCTCGTTTCTGGAGATCTACAACGAATCCATCCGCGATCTGCTCGCAGACTCCGCCGGGCGCCACGAGCTGCGGCTCCGCGAGTCGCCTCACACTGGGGTCTACGTCGAGGGCCTGACTCGTCTGGCAATGGCAAACCAGGGCGCGCTTATGCGTGCCCTGGAGGTTGGCAGTGCGTCACGGATGGTTGCCGCCACGGCCATGAATGCAGGCTCATCGCGCTCGCATGCGGTCATCGAGCTGCGGGTCGCCCGCTCCGACGGGCGCGCGGCACGGCTGCATCTGGTTGATCTCGCAGGCTCAGAGCGGCAGGTTGCAACCCACGCTGCCGGAGTGCGGCTCAAGGAAGCGTGCGCCATCAACAAGTCACTCTCGGCACTCGCCAACGTCATTGCCGCGCTCGCCAAGGCTGCCAAGGCCGGCCGGCGAGCCAACTTTGTGCCATACCGCAACTCGGTCCTCACTCGGCTTCTCCAGTCGTCGCTCGGCGGCAATGCTGTGACGTGTATGATTGCAGCTATTGCCCCCGGCGCGGGCTATCGCACCGAGACAGAGTCAACGCTGAGGTATGCGTCACGGGCCAAGTACATCCGCAACACACCCAAGCGCAACGCGTCGACGTCATCGTCGGTCGACGTCAACGCGCTCCGGGCTCGTATCGCCGAGCTTGAGGCCGCAGCGGCTGCCAGCTCTGAAGGTGGCAGCGCCGACGCCCACGGGCCCGAGCTCGCCGAGCTCCACACTCAGCTCGATCGGCTGACCACCACCCTTGCCGACCGCGAGGCTGCCGCTGAGGCCGCCATCGCCCGGCGCGAGGCCATGCTCGCAGACTCAGGCATTTCCCTGGCAGAGCTTGGAGAGGTCTTTGGCACCGGCTCGGCACCGTATCTTGTCAATCTCAACCCCGAGACTGCGCTCTCGCACACCATTGTGTGTGTCCTTCGCCGCGACGTCATGCTACTCGGAAGCGACGAGGCGGCGGCCGACATTGCAGTCTCGGCACCCGGCGTGGCAGCGCTTCACGCCGAGCTGCGGCTAGCAAGTGAGACGAGGCCACATGTCCAGGTCAAAGCGCTCTTCCCGGGCGCCTCCATTCACATCAACGGCAAGCTCCTCGACCCGTCGGCTTGCGGCGAGCTCTGTCCGGGCGATCGGCTGGTCATCGGCGCGGCGCTGGTCTTTCGGCTCATGTGGCCGCACGCTGCCGGTCTCGAATCCTCACCATCGTTTACCTGGCACGACGCCGTGGCCGAGATGGCCGGCGTGCTCGGGCTGGAGACGTCGGATCACGCGGCGCTGGTGCTCGAGCTCGCGCGTCTGGTGTCGACGGCCAACGACATGGCGGAAGGGCTCGACAAGCCGGTTGTGTTTTCTGTGGTCGAGGATTCGGGCGGAGCGGACGGGGTGGCGGTGGCAGCCTGGTCGCGACTGCGGCCAAAGCAGCCGCCGTCGCGGATGACGGTTGCCGAGTTTCGGGCGCGGCTGGAGGCCATGACGGCGTTTGCGGCGCGTTCGGTGTCGTCGGTGGCGTTGCTTCGCGTCGGGGAGGACGATCCGTTCGACGAACCGCAGCCAGACGTGCTGTTAGGGCGGGGGCGGTATGCGCTCACGCGGGTGGCAGACCTCGAGCCGGCGTCGCGCCCGCTGGTGCTGGATCCTGTGTTGCCGCGCGCGTTTGTGCGCGGGCAAGCGCCGCGGCTGTACGTCGACATCTTTCTCCTCTCGAACGACGGCGGACACACGCGGCTTGCAGCGCCGCAGACGCTCGATGCGTTCTATGGCACGACGGTCACGGTTGTGGTCGCGGTTGTCCGCGCTGTTGGGATGCGCAAGCGCACCGGCTCGGGCGTCTTTGTTCGGTACGACTATCCCGAGGGTGACGATGTTGACGAGGTCACGCCGCGGGCCGACGTCAAGCGCAGCGGCGAGGTCTTGTGGGACTACGTCGACATGTTCGAGGTCCGTGTCGACGAGAACCTGGAGTGCTATCTCCGCAGCAAGGAGGTTGAGTTTGAGGTGTGGGGACGAGAACGGGAGTGAGGCGCACTTGCTCGGTCGTTCATTGGCGGCAGTCACTTCACTTTGTGGGCTTGGCCGAGGCAGCGGCGCCCGACGCGCCGTGGGTGTCGGCCATTTCCTCGCGGGTCCGGCGGATGAGCTCGCGGAGGTCCGAGTCCGAGAGCATGTTGTTCTCGACGCAGTAGTCGAGAAGCTTTGCGTGGACGGCCTCATCGGACCAGGGCTCGACGACGTCGACGGCGTCGGGCCGCATAAAGATGCCGGTCTTGGGCGGGCAGGTAAAGTAGCGGTGCTCGTGGGCCATGCCGTCGTTCTTGCCGCAGCCGACCTTGTCGAGCTCGATGCCGACCCAGGTTCCGTCCTGGCCGTACACTTCGCCGACGTAGCGGATAGTGCCGCGCTGACCCTTTGCGACGACACGGACGCCGACGTCCTTGGAAACGTCTGTGCGAACGACGGAGACGCGCTCTGAGCGGACAAAGAGGCCACGGCCCGCGGCGCAGACAAAGAACTGAACGCCGAGACACGAGCCGTCGTTGCCAATGCCGTTCTTGAGCTTCTTGTCCATCTCGAGGCCGAGCCAGACGTCGTCCGAGTCGGCAATGGGCAGGCGACCACAGTAGCGGATGGTGGCGCGCTTGCCCTTCCACAGCACGCGAGTGCCACGGAGGACCTCTGTCTTGGCAAACTCCTTGGCCTCTTCGACGCGGGCACGGCGCTTGGCCTGCTTCTGGGCGATGCGCTCCTTCTTGGCCTGGATGGTCCGCTGCTGGGCAGCCTGCTTCTCTGCGGCAGCGCGGGCGCGTGCGGCGTCCTCGTCCATCTTCTTCTTCTGGGCCAGCAGCTCTTCGCGCTCGCGCTCAAGGCGCTCGTGCTCGGCGCGGGCGGCGTTGATGGTCCGCTGGATGCGCTCCTGCTCGATCTTGACGGCGGCCTCCATTTCGGCCTTGCGCTTGCGGGCGGCGAGGACGCGGGCGATTTCGGCCTTGCGGGCGGCTCGCTCGCGCTGGGCGCGGGCCTTGGCGTCCTGGCGGAGCTTATCTGCGAGGACGCGAGCACGGGCCCGACGAGCGCGTTCGGCGGCGATGCGGGCCTCTTCCTCCTTGCGACGGCGCTCCTCCTCGGCCTTGCGACGGGCCTCCTCCTCAATGAACGCATGCATCTCCTCCTCGGACGCCGGAGCGGCCTTGCGCTCGACCTGGACGAGGTCCTCGAGGTTGGACACGAGCTTGGTGACGCGGGTGACGGTGCCCTCATCACGGAAGACCGTGCCCGCAGAGAGCTTGGCAATGCCCTCTGCGGCGAGCTTGGCCGACTTTGCGAGGGCGGCGACACGAGCCTTGACGTCTTTGACCTGCGCGGGGTCGTGCGAGCCCTGGGCGACACGCTTGAGCGTCTCTAGCAGCTCGTCGACGTCACGGAGCGCGGGGTTGGCGACGGCGGCGATGGGCTCGAGGACGGCTTCGCGCTCGGCGTCCTCGCGGGCCTTGCGCTCGGCCTCCTCCTCGGCGGCGAGGATCTTCTTGGCCTCTTCGAGAGAGTGACCCTGGGCAACGAGCTCGCGGATGCGCTCGATGCGCTTCTCGTTGCGTTTGTACTCTTCGACCAGGCGCGGGAGCTTGCGCCGGGCGAGCCACATGCGGTGGAGTGCCTGCAGATGCTCGAGGCCGACCTTTTTGATGGCGTCGATCTTGGCCTTGGCGTCGGCGCGCTCAGCCTCGAGGCAGCGAAGCAGGCGCTCCTTCATGAACACCATGGTCGTGCCCATGTGCCACGGCGTGGGGCCAAAGTCGTCGGCGTACTTGGCGTGGACCCAGTCGAGGATAGCGGCAGTGGCCTCCTCGGGCGGGGTGGCATCCGAGATGTCTTCCAGCAGCTGGACAATGAGCTTGTACCGCTTCATGAACTTGTCGGGCGTCATACGCTGCGGGTAGCCAGCGTTACGGATGTTGATGGTCTCGAGCATGCCTGCCGCACGGAGCTGGGCCAGGACCATGTCGTTGACAAACCGACGGGCCTTCTTGTCGGGGTTCGGCTTGACGCAGCGGATGAAGAACGGAATAGTGGAGCGGAGCTTGGTGATGAGCGACTTGAGTGAGGTGCGGAAGATAAAGGCCACGGTCTTGGTCGCCTTGTGCTGGGCGAAGAGCGACGAGAGGTAGCCGAGGCCCGAGTTCTGGACGAGGGTGACAAAGAGGTCAACCATCTTGTCCTTGTTTTTCTCGAGGAAGCCGGCGGTCTCGGGATCGACGCTCGGGTCGTTGAGGTTGTCCCGGCAGACCGAGTACTGGACGTCGCCGGCGTAGTGTGCAATGACAAAGTCGGTCGAGTCTGTGCGGAACTTGTTGGGGCGCAGCTTGCCGTAAAACTGCGTCTTCTTGAGGCGGCGCTCCGGGTGGGAGAGAATGCCTTGGCCGTCCTTGGCGGTACCGGGCGTGGGCCGCCAAACTTGGCGGAGAACCGCTCGAGGAGCTCCTGGTTGGTCCGCTTGCGCGGGCCGGTGGAGAACTCGTCGAGAATGCCCATTTGCTCGAGAATGAGGTCGATGCACGGATCGTTGTTGTCAAACTCGATGTTGTCGACTGGGATGCCCTCGGCGTCGTAGAGGGCCTTCTCCTGCTTGAAGATGGCCTCGTTGAAAAAGTTCTGCAGCATCTCGTTGGCAAAGTTGATGCAGAACTGCTCAAACGAGTTGTTGGGGTACAGCTCGCCGTTCTTGGGCCGAGTGAGGTGAAAGTGCTCAAAGCCAAAGATGTCCAGGACGCCGATCCAGGCGTCCTCGGACTGCTCGTAGGCGACGGTGTTGTTGATGCGGTGAACGAGGTCCTCGAAGAGCGACTGGTAGATGCCCTTGGCAAAGGCGTCGCGGTTGTCGAGCGCCTGCTCTGGCGAGAGCTGCTTGGTAATGACCTGGTCGCCGACAGTGATCTCGCGGTGGCACATGGCAAAGGCCAGCGCGTCCTTGTCGACCTGCAGGAGGTGGGCGACGGTGTCGAGCGAGCCCGAGTCCTTGACCTCGGACGCCGGCTCGCCGTCATCGCCGAGGATCTCCTTCATCTCGATCTCGCCAATGTGGAGGATGGCGGCGAGAACGGTGTACATCTCCTTTTGCTGGGCGTCGTCGATGCCGAGCTCGCGCATGTACGGCACGACGATGGTGGTAAAGTCCTCCTCGTCGTCGATGCCTGGCGCAATCGGCCGCTTCCCGCCGTTGAGGTACTTGTAATCGGTCGACTTGGTCAGGTGCCACTCATTCTTGACAACGTCGGCGTCGTAGAAGAAGATGTCGTAGAAGATGTGGTAGTTTCGCTCGTCCTTGTTCTGCATGACAATGCGCGACTTTTCGAGCAGGTACTGCTCAATCATGGCTCCCTTGATGATGCCGTCGACAAACTGGACCTGCACAAACTTGCCGAACCGCGACGAGTTGTTGTTCCGCGTTGTGCACGCGTTGCCAAAGGCCTCAAGCACGAGCGAGGTCATAACAATCTGCGACTCGATGGAAGAGACCTCGCCACCGGCCTGGACCGACGACCGGTGGGCGAGGTACTGGAGCACGTGCTTGGTCGACTCGGACTTGCCGGCGCCCGACTCACCCGAAATGACCACCGACATGTTCGCCTGCTCCGCCATCATGATCTTGTAGCACTCGTCCGAGATGGCAAAGGTGTGCGGCGCGAGCTTGGTAAACTCGCAGTCCTGGTACCGCTCCTTGTACTCATCGCCAATGATAGAGAGACCCTCGGCGTCCTTGACTGCGCGGAACGGGTTGACCGCCACCAGAATCTGGCCAATGTACGTGTAGATGAGGTCCTTGTTGTAGCGGATCTTGAGGTTGTGCAGCAGAGCACCGACGTACAAATCCGTCAGCGTCAGCATGTCTTCCACTCCCTCGGGCGGCAGAGACATCGGAAGCAGCTCGTAGTCAGACGAGCCAGGCTTGACCGAGATCTTGGCCGGAGTGTTCTCCCACCCCGGCTCGATCTTGACGTCAGTATGGCTATCGTCCGACGCCATTACCGTCCCTGCCTTTTCCGGGTAGTTGGGGTCGTTGGGCATGCGGACCCAGACACGCGCGCCCTGTGCACACCCACCCACAATGACAGAAGAAGAACAAGAGGGAGGAGGTGGTGGTGAGGGCAAGGGTGTGTGACAGTGGCCAAAGGGCAGGAGCGGAGGTGCGCTGGCGGTTGTCCGTGTTTTTCATGCGCCTTGGGGAAGTGCGGGTGGCGGGCAACTGCCACAGCTGTTATTGATGGTCGAACAATTGACGGTGAGGGGGGAAGGAGAGAGGGGGGCGGGTTGAGTGGGGGGGGGGGGGGGGGGTTGATGACGATGGATGTAAGGATGGATTGGATGGATTGGATGGTTGGATGGATTGGAGGGATGGATGTATGGATGGAGATGTTGAGCTTGGCTGGATGCCATGGGCATGTCTGCACTGCTTGTTGTGGGTGGTCTTGTGGCCAAATGCTGGAATTCAATGTTGGGCTTTAATGATGATGGTGGTCAATCGTTGGTCGTTGTGGCTGTTCGTTCACCGGCCGGCCAACAGGAAGAGGACGTTGCAGCCACTCGCCACCTCTTCTCCCTCCCCTCCACCCCCTCCCCCCCCC